GAATTTATCAAAGTACCTTGACCTGGAGCTACCTCGGCCAGTACGGTAATAAAGTTAAAGATTCAGAGTGTGCTCTCGTCTTGACGGTATATGAGATTTCTTACCATGACAACACTTTTCAAACTGATCCATTTCAAGCGCTTATCCTTTGAACCCAGAATGACATGATCTGCCAAGAATACTGCCTGAGAAGGCTCGCATGTTTCAGGACGGGAAGCTCGATCAATGTATGTTTCAAGAGATGCAGCGCAAATTCAGATTCAGCCTTGAACAACCCAGGTCATTCTCAACGAAAAATTCATATACTTAAATGGAAGTTTATTGATTACCTGCACCCTTTTTTGTGAATACTTTTTAGTAGCCGGCACAGTCGGCTCCGTCCGGCCCTGTTAGTGTACTACATATAATAGAGATCACCATTCTTTTTTTTGTGTACACCATTGACCTGTCATTTCTATATGCTAATTCCCCGCCCCCATTATGCTTTCGTAATCAACATGCGCACTTAGCTCTCCTGTGCCAACTCCCACCCCCCGTAGCTACTCTGCAAATCGATAAAATCGATATCGATCGATAACGAAAAGTGGCTTATGAAACTCGCCCCGCCCTGAAGCGAATGTGTGCAGAATTTGGCCCAGATCGGTTCAGGGATAGAAATTTCTGTTCGGAGCATAGGTACGTACAGAACACATACACGGATAGATAGACAAAGAGACATTTAGCTTAGTTCTTATCTCAACTTTTGATCACGCGTTTTTAGCTTCTGTCTGGCTGACTGACTCAAAGTCCAACTCCGCTGCTAAAACCTGAACTTGTTATGTGCACCATGGCTTTTTGCGAGTTGAATTCGATGCGATTCTAATGTAGATGAATAGAACGTATTCTGAAGTGTACCTGTCATTGAGAAGCGGCGTATATACAGAGTGTCCCAAAAAGATGTGCACACTGTTTGATCGTTAATAACTCTCTTGCTTTCATGTCTGCCAAGCTTGAGGTACCATTCTGTAGAGCGAGGTTCAACTAGATTTACAGTATGGAGCACACTACCAATCACTCTTCATTACTGTAGAATTACAGCATAAACTTTCAGCTCATAGTGTCACTATGGAATAGGCTTTCGATGAAATAATTTCAAAAAATTTTAAAAATTTGTGTAGCAAAGTTTCAGACGTCCTGATTTCACTATCTAACTTTGCACCAATTTCGAGCTTCCTTGACGGCGTATTCACATTTCCGACAAACGTTGGAAAAGCAGCTGTCAGTTTGCACCTGAAATAACTTATGAAAAAAGCACTATACTGAACTGTAAGTTTCATATTTAGGGATTTCGATTCGACTTCGATTAGCCCCTTCAAGAGTTTCTGCCTTGTTTGTCTTTCTGAGGCAAAATAACGGCAAGATACCGCTTTCAATGGCTTAAAATTCTACTCGAAGTTTTTACCGTGACTCTACAGTGATAAAAAGCGATTGATATATCGCTCCATACTGTAAATCTAAGTTGTACCCCGCTCTACAGAATGTTACCTCAAGCTCGACAAAAGACATGAAAGCAAGAGATTTATTAACGATCAAACAGTGTGCCTTTTTCTGGGACATCCTGTATATTTTTCGGGTGAGTGACTTTTCATACGATGAGCATTTCCGAGGTGCAAAGTGTGAATACCTACGGCTAGGTGTGAGGTCTCGCATCTCGGCGTCTAGTATACTGTAGGAGATAAGATCTGGAGGGGGGGGGGGGAGGAAGAGGGGGGAGAGGGGGGGGGGTAGAGGGACTTTCCATACGATTGCTTCTAAAATAACCTGACCTTTTGGCAAGTTCAAGAAATTTGGCACTATGCCAGATTTGGCCCTGCTGGCTCCATACCAAAGAATGAAGCATCTAAATAGGTTATGCAGCACAGCGAAATCAGAAAAAAAGCAATTTGAAGGCTGCACGATAAGCTTACTCTAAAAATTAACGTTGTAGTTGTGTAGTTGCAGGGTCCGGTCTTCCCTACCCTAAGCCCTTTTAAACGTGAAATCCATCTGACATAAATCTCATAATGGAATATTTTTCGAAATCCCAAACTCACTGCATTTTTTGTCTTTGTTTCCGCTTCAGTATCATAGAAATCAGCTAAAACTCAGCGCAAAATTATTGCAGAAACTGGGTCTTCACTCAAAAAATTCTTCTTACAGAATCTTCCACTACTGTTGGATCTAATCGTTTTCACGAAAAAGTGTCACATGCCATCCATCCGACTTTCTAGCATGATCTGGAAGTGTTACTTTCCCATTAGAGTTGAGAAAATAGGACACTTGGAACGGACTTCATTATCAGGCTTATCCGATTGTTTACGAAAATGATTGCGCTGGTCTAGCGGCCTTTACTATGATACCTTTAAAGCTAAAGCGTGACCAAGTGAAAAAGTTCTGCGATGGCCGGAAGTGCCCAGAAGTATTTGTATACTGCTCAAAAGCAGATTAAAAAAAATTGTGGATATATATATATATGTCTTATAAATATCTTTCAATAATTATGATTTTCTTTCCATTGTAATCGATAAGTGGTCCTATCATAGCATCCCGGCATAATGTCGAAAGGTCAAGATGATCAAGGAACCATCGTATGAAAAGTCCCCTCCCCCCCCCCCCCCCCTCTTCCAGCCGTAGTGGAGAATCTTACTCACTGCATGGGTCGAGGGGTGCGAAGTAAGTGTGAGGTAGGTGCGAAGATTAGGTGGGAAGTCCTCGATCGTATGAAAAGTCCCCCCCCCCCCCCATATTTTTCGGCGGCCATTAGCGCAAGCAGATTCTATGCTGGAGGAGTTGATATCCCAATAAGCCTTCAGTAAAGAAAAAAGCTAATGCTAAGGGTGCCTTCATTCCACTCCGGCAGCCACCGCTGGCAGCCCATAGCAGCCGCTGGCCGCTTTTGTCAGAAGCGCAAAATCATCAAATTCTTACTATTACTATACTTTGAGTGCGCCCGCCCATTCTTGCCATCTTCCACGCTTCTTTCTTTCTATTCCCGCTAATGTGCAGTTCCACAATCACACATTACAGAGTTATTCAAGTTAAGCACCGACCAAAGAAATGATTGAAGCAAAACCATACTTAGAGAATGACCGCGAGGAAACTTCGGCCAAATAGTCCAACTGCGAGATGATGATGATGGAAAGCGTGGGCGTCTGGACTTAAAATGGTAAGAATCTGATGATTTTTCGCTTCTACGACAAAAGCGGCCAGCGGCGGCAACGGGCTGCTGGCGGCTGCTGTGGGCTGCTACGGGCTGCCAGTGGCTGCTACGGGTTGCCAGCGGCGGCTACGGGCTCCTACGGCTGCTAGCGGCGGCTGCCGGCGCGGTATGAAGGCATTCCAAGGGCAGAAATGTAATTGCTACTACATGTTGGACGAACATGAGTGGCAAAGCAGAGAAGGTTACTACACTAATTTCAAGAGTAAAGACGCGCCTGTTTTTTTCTAAACTCAACCAGTCTAAACGCACGAAAAAATTTCGCGACCAAAGAACCTTCTACGATGCTGCTATTCACCCAAAGAAATGTGCGGGAGATTGACTTTTCTGCGAGGCACAATGTGCGGCCAAGCTGCTTGTTTGCATAAAATGAAAAAGTTGTGCATCTGCTCGTGAAATTAGGTATATGCACTTCCTGTTAGGGCTTGCTTGTTTGTATAGCCTTTATCTTTCCCATATGGCCTACCATACAAATAGTGAATTGTCTCAGTTTCATCGCCGCCATAGGAAACATTCAAATGCCTTGGAGTAGAGGAACTGTAGAGCCAAGAACTCTCATCAAAAAGCTACTTTGTAGGTTAAAAGACTTCCAAACACTCCGAATCTCATGTTCGCTTCCTGGTAGACTTCGCTGCCCCATTTCAGATTACTAACGAGCCACTGTTCGAACGCAGACATTAACAGAGCTCAAATTCCTCACAAGAGAAGGATATGTAATTATAGTGCCCTTTCTATTACATATATGAAGTCAGAAAATCAGCGATTTCGAATCCGTATCTGAAGCGCTCCTGCGAGAAAAATACCCTAATTTCACGCGTACAAGGCGCGGGGATTTTTTTCTAAAATGCGCCAGCCCAAACACGCCACAACACTTCGCGACCAAAGAACCCTACACCGGGCTCCGTATTGCCTGAGAGAATTGAACGGTTTAAGGTTCGCTTTCCGAAACAGGTTGAAGCGGTTGAGCGGCTTGTTTGAAAAATCGAAAAAGGTGCGCATTCAATGTTGTAGGGGAATTATTCAACTCGTTGGTACTAAACTGTTCTGCACCAACAGAGCCTCTAGAATTCAAGAATTTTATTCACTTATGAAAGAGTTTCTCAAGCGAGTGAATACCTTCTTTTTCTGCAGCATGCTTGAAAATTACATTGCTATATTTGTCGCTAAAACAAGCCGTACAAATTCCTTGCACTTCTTTGTGAATTTTTGTGTTTGATGGCAAGCCAACCCAAATGAAACCAATTATTCTAGGCCCTCCAATCGGCGAAACAAATGAAAAATGTCTGAGCATATGTTCTGCAAAATTCGTGCTGTGGATGAACACAACATTGTATTTCACAGTTGTCTTCTGTCGATCCAAACTTGCTGGCCACAGTAATGACAATTATCCTCAAAGGTATTTGCTGTAATACTGTTATCGTCTTTACCAAAAGCAACAAAACGCAGAATAGTTATGGCCCTCAAACTATGGATGTGCCTCGAACTTTTTTAGAACCAGTGAACACGTCAATGCATGAAAGAGCGATGATGAGCTGTCCTAGCAGCTAAGAAAAGGTATGGTGTCGCCCGAATACACCGCTAATGACAGATTGCGAAGTATTCAAGCCTCGATGGGTACCGAACGCCAGCACCTCCTCTTGGGTAAGGCGAAAAGTTTCTGCTCACAGTGGCTGAACATAGATAGTGGAAGTCTCACAATTGGCCACTTGCCACCGCGAAGCATCGTTCCCGCTAGATGAATGAGAGAAATCTTTCATACGATAACCGGGAAAACCCTTTATTCATAAACTTCAAGCTTTTTGTCAAGGTACATAAGCTCCTCCAATTGTGCACTTCTTCCTGGCATGACAGATTTCTCAGTACATTACAGATTTCAAGCCAATCAGCTTTCTTTGCATTTGAATATAGCTGGACGAATCGCAGGTCCACCATATAATTTTTGACATCTTTCGTCGAGGGAGTCAAAAATGACATTCATAGCAAATAGCCATCCTGGTTCCGGAGTTGTTCCCTGAAAGTGATATGGTGCAGATATAATACGAACAACTCATGCAGAACATTTCGAACTGATAGGTCTCACGAAGGAAAGAGCACCACTCTCTTCAAGATATTCCGAGAATATGTGCACTAAAATATTCGCTTTGCCGCACTATTGTCGTGTGAAATTAGTACAATCGGCGAAGTCAATAACAGCGGATTGAAGGCGATATCGTGCCGGAAGCGCCGCAACCGCACAACTTTTTTGAGAACAACAAACAATGGCTATATGTTCGGAAACAGCGTCTTCCGAACATATGGTTCCCACTGTTTGTTGTTCTCAAAAAGGGCAGCTTTCCACCTCTATCAAAATATCGCTAAATTCGAGCAGTTTTTTATATCGGAGAATGCTACAGGTTGAAAATTTCACTGGGTGAGCAGCTTAGATGATACTGTAGATCATTTCTCAAAAAACTAATTCCGAATGTATAGCTCCCGCAGTGAAATGTTTTTCTCAATAAAGTCATGCTGTAGCGGCGCTTCCGACGCGATATCGCGTTTGGTCGCTGCTTCTAACGGCGGCGCCGATGATCTGTCATTTCATTCATATGTTGGCAAAACATCCGAAGAAGAACATCTTTAATAGACTTCTTGTTACCTCAATCTAATCTGCGCTCTCTTCCACCCCTCCCCCCCAATCAAAGGCTCTCAGCCGGCGCCACCAAAAGTGCCGTTGCCTTATCGCCGCCACTTTCGCTTCCCGCTGAAGATTTATGGCAGCCCGCTCGCTGCCAGTTCTAGCAAAGTTTCTCAGCGGGAAGCGAAAAGTGGCAGCGATAAGGCAACGGCGCTTTTGGTGGGGCCGGCTGAGAGCCTTTAATTGATTGTCTGAGGCTATTCACATCAGCTCCTCCTAGCAGATCAAGCTCTTCGAATTTGGAAAAATTGTAATGCATGTCGAAAAAACATTTTTGAGCGGTTTTCTTGCGATTCTCCTTGTCCAACCTACAGCTCTCTCAAGACATTTGATAAATTTCACAATGAGAGATGCAGCTTCACTTATAACCGACTTACCGCGTCGGTTGCAAAAAGTTCTCTGTGTATGAATAAACATGTGGAGACCAGAGTTGAAAGGCAGCCATCTCGAAGCAAATAAAATAAGAAGTCAGTGATGACACCAACGGCATCTTCATTAGGCTCTGAAGTATGCAGTAGGATTTGTCGGAGTCACAAAGAGGTGACAGTAAGAAACTACCATTTTTGAGATATTTGAGTATGTCCTCCTTTGTTTTTACCATATTCTGCTCTCCAAAGAATGAAGGTTGTCCGATACTGAATGCTGGTGGAAGTTCCCGTTCCTAGAATGTAAGCTGTGGCAAATAAGCTGAATTAAAGGCGCCATACCTGAGTCGTTTCTTCTTTATGTACGAGCTGAGGTGGTTTCTTTTCTTCTGCAAATAAAAGAACCACGGTAACGAACGAATATGTGGGAAAACTATGCAAAGATAACCTTTTTTATTCTTGTTCATTTGGAACATCCTATTGATGGCTTCTGACGTAGCCGAGTAGCCGACTTCCGAAGCAAGCGCAAGACGCCCACACTGTACACCTATCTGTGGAAAAAAATCCAAAACTGAGCGCAGGTTCTAAACGAAAGAGGACAGATAATAACTGTGCTCACCCCTCGAACATCTGAGACTACGGGAGATATATTGTTGAACAGCCTCAATGCGACTGCCGAGATGACCTTAACTATATTTTTGTTGCTACATTGGAGAAATTTCGCATAGTTGCGTATTGGATTCTTATTAAAAGAAATGTGCACAGATCATGGATGTATGATTCGCTTACGAAAGCAGTTAATACCTACATGAAAGCCTCAAAATTTTTGCAGTTTGCTTTATCTGCACTCAACAACACAGTTTTCAGTGCAGCCCAGAAAAGAACGAGAGGCAAAGTAATGCTAAAAATTTACAATTTCACCAACATTTTTCTAAACTTCAAATCGAACATGGACGAGAACGTAGAAGAAATATATATATACTAGCTGGCTTGCCCGGCTCCGCCGGGCCTGCCAGCTAGACCCGTGTACGTATGTTCCGAATAGAAATTTTTATCTCTGAACCGATTGGGACCGAACTTTGCACACATACACTTCGGGGCAGGGAGCGTGAAAGCATAGGCTACTTTCCCGTGAAAGGGAAAGTAGCCTATGACACGCTCCCTGCCCTGAAGTATATGTGTGCCAAGTTTGGTCCCGATCGGTTCAGAAATAAAAATTTGTATTCGGAACATACGTACATACATACAGACAGACAGACATACAGACAGACATACAGACAGACAGACAAACAGACATTCAGCTTTATATATAAGATTAGGTTTCCGCTATCTGCTCCGTAATTTTGTTAGAAAGAAGAACTTGCTATTTGTGGAGGTATCTTGAAGAGCTTTTACCATACACTCATCGCAAAATAAATAATATTAGGTTGCTGGTAATTAATTTCGGCCGTTGCGGCCTACAGATGCCGCATACAATTTTTTGTCCAGTATTCGCTACCGCTGGAAAGAGCACTTCAATGAGAATTGGGACATAAAATCTGTTCTAGTAGAATTTATTTTTCAACAGAAAAAAGCCGCAGAGAAGGAACCGTAGCTTTCTCATTGTGAGCGAATATGGGAAACTTAGGTTTTTTCGGTCAAAGAATTTTGAAACAGCAGATCAGTTTTTGACAGTCGCTGAGTAGGGAAAACTTGCTCGTATCCATATACCAAACTGCTGTTCTCTGAATCCATCAGAGCATGAAAATGAAGCCTCGAAAGTGGCAAAGTTGAGCTTTTGGTTTAGCCATGTTGGAACATAATTGTCCCTTACTGAAACTCAAAACTCTGAATAGTTGATATGTGATGCGAAAGCTTTCAACTATTTATCCACAAAATATTGAATTAAGAACAACTAGGAAAGTTCTTATGAAGATTTCCATGCCAAAACGAAACTATTTTTAGCAAAAAATTCGAAATCAGTACATGGGTTACATGACCCGCACTTTACAACTGAAAAAGGCTTGTGCTGTTTGGACGTTTCTGCGAGAAGTTACGAACGTGCAGGCTTGACATGCGAGGGGGCTGGAGGTTTACAATAGACAATGGCAAGATTAAATTTATTTGTCATACAATAAACAATGACAAGATTGAATTTGTTGGCTACTTTTTTCAAAAACTATAACTTTTCAAAAAGACGTTTGAACAGCACAATTTTTCTCAGTTGTAAAGTGCAGGTCATATGACCCATGTACTGACGTTTATGATTTTTTTGCAAAGCTCACGATTTTTGCGACCTATCCCAAAATGAGCAAAGACTGAGTGATGTTCTTTTTCTATCTTTGACTCTGCAATGAGTGTGTAGTATAAGATCATGTAGATTCAAAAAGAGGAAGACCTTTTCTTTCCAATAAAACACGAGGGAGCAAATTCGTTGAGATATCGAAAAATTACAAATGTTTAAAGGTGAAAACTTCCAAGACCACCTAATATATCCAAAATGCTGCATCTAGTCTGCCAGATGTTAATTCTAAATCACCAGTCAAAAAGTCCAAATGTAGTTACTTGAGTATCTATCTATTTCATATTGGCTTAATCAAAATTAGCTTTCTTAGCTCAGACCTAGCTTTGCACAATTCATAGGAGCATCCTAAGTGGTCGATGCAGCATGATTTTGTTGCGATTACCTGAGCAGAAGTTGTCGGGTGCTCTAAAGAGGATGATTTATTCTGCACATCGCACTCTCCGTGACCAAGATACTTCGCCGTCTCTATGGGTGCATCTGGGCTACGTACCTGAAGACGAAAATTTAGAAAGATGACTGTAAATGTCAATGTCCAGCGTTCGCAGTGCCAGACAAATCTTACCATCAATTTTAGTGTTATAGACTTGGTAGTCATCTTTGCGCTCATGAGTTTCTTCTCTAACTCGGCACCAATCACATTCAAGAAATGAGCGACTTCACTTTTCTGAAATCATAACGCTAAGACAGCGGAAATTGAACCTGATAACAGATGATATTACAGTAAACAATACATCCTTTCCATTTTGCGACCAGAGCAGGTTTTCTTACCACGACATGCAACGACTAATCGTAATAAGTGTAACTAGGTATTAAGTTGGTGCAAAGTAATGTCCGATTTATAGGTGTTTTTCGAACAAGTTTTCTCCATCGAACTTTCTTTATCGATATAAGCTTTGCATATCATCAGGAAGTTTTCCTCATGGACTTTCTAACAGTGGATTTCAACAGCATTTTACACAGCCGCACTCGATCGAAATTTTTATTGCTTTCACTTTATTGGCCACAATTCGGGCGCAAATGAACGATTTCTATCGAAAACATAGGTACTAAATGGGATAAATACTGTTCACCTAATGCATACTTAGGTAGATTTTTCAAGTTATCTGGACAGAAATCGACGCCCGAAAATAGATACTCACTACTGATTGATACTTGCATGCTATGAGTCAAAAAATTTCTCAGTGTTGAGGCAATCGCCGAAGCTTCGCTCATTTCTGTAAGCTTGAGATTAAGACATCCTGCCTACAATTTCTGCAAATAATAGCTATTCAGCGCATGGAGAATTTCCAAATTCTATAGTTTGGGTTTCCAGGCCTACGAAATAGGCTCAAAAAATAAACATTTTCGACTTTTATTTTCTCTTTCCGCAGTTTCCTTAGTTGAAATCTTTTCTATACTCATGTATTCTTTTGGATTGCGACTACGAATTTTTTGAGGGGAGTCGTAGTCTTTATAAAAAAAGAGGTTTAAAAAGACTTTCGGTTTTTTGACGCATGGTTTTCTTCCCATTAGCGATATCAGCTCAGGGATTCGCGCCGTGCGGGCGGTCCTCATTAAAGCTCCTCCGCCTGAGCGCACTGCATAGTTTTTGATGTACCGTGCGTGCGGTCAACAATAAAAATGCCGTGCAAGCGGAAGACAGTCTACCCGTTCGATCGCCACGCAATAAAATCGACCGTGCAAGCGGCAGGCAATGCGTCCGCACGATCGGCCAGCAATCACTTGATCGTACAAGCGGCAGGCAATCTCGCCGCGCAATCGGTACGCAATAAAACCGACCGTGCAAGCGGCAGGCAATGTGTCCGTTCGATCGGGCGGCAAACATTTGCCCGTGCAAGCGGCCAACAGTGACCTCTACCTTCGGCTCATTGTTTTCACACACTGTGAGCGTAAACGGTACCTGCATGAGATACGACGCAGCGTTTAGGCTGGCTAAGCGTCGACTATCGTGTTATCAACATTTCCCTTCACCGCAAAGCTGGAATGAACCTGCGTGAGGCTACAGTTATCAAGAGTGATGGTGTGGGCTTCTCCATGGAAAGTTTGGGCAGTGCGGCAGGCATTAGTCCGTGTTCGCAGGATGTGAAAATGCTTAACATACCTAAGAAAAATGGTTAAAATACCCCATATAAACCTACTCCAGCAGCAAGCGAGCGGCCGACCTTCCCCGCGCAAGCGGCGAGCATTAGAAACCGTGCGGGCGCCCCACGTTAACCGTGCTAACGGCCCTTGACGACCGTACAATCGCACACACCAACGAGCGATTGTAAGTTCGTCGCTGGCCGCCCGCACGGTGCGAGTCCCTGAGAGTATGAGCAGGTGCGCCGGGGTTATGAAAGGTTTACCGCCTTTGGTGGTCTCGACTATATTCAAAAATATGGGGACCATACTACGGTTTCGAAGTAAGACTTTGCAAAACGAAATACTTTGCAACAACTAATACATTCAAATATCACAGTATCTATACAAAGAGCCTCGAAATTTCAAGTCAAAGTAAGTAGTCGTTGAAACTGCATCTCCGTCTTGATGACCTGCACTTTTCATTTGTTCTCGGTCTACCATAACTTATGATAATGGAATGCAGTTTGAGAATCTGTGTGTAAAAAGATTTTTGAAATGAACTGGGAGAAAATAAAAGAAATTGCCTAACATATGGATAGCCAACCAAAAACAAGAGTTCGATGTGGATTCGTCAAGAAACGGGCATTCAGCGAATCTGCACGGCTTCTGTTTGGTGATTGATAATGCATAGTAAGCGGTACAGAGAATATGCTTTTGATTAGGTAGAAGTTCATCAAAAAGATCAGAAGTTGTTAAAGACAAAGAGATAAGAAAAGCGTTATATTGAATTGGACGAAAACTATGCATGAAATTGTGTCATTAAATGTTTAGCAGAAATCTGAAAAAAATGGATACTCTGAAATCTGGCATATAACTCCGCTTTTTCCAGAAAAAGGAAAATCGGAGAATGAATTCATCGCCAATGATAGCGCTCAAACTGTGTTCAACACTTCATATAAATCAATAACTCCTTGATTGCTTAAAGTATTGTACTAGTAGATAATTAGAATAATTTTTTTCAATTTCTTAAAAACTCAAACAAGCTTTGTATAAAACTTTCGGGGGAAGGGGGCTATCGCCACACCCCCGTTTTCCCAAAAATTTGAGGTTACGAGCCTTTGAAAAATTTGGGTTGCATCTCAAAAAAAAAAAAAAAACTTCGGAATGCATGGCTTCATTCGGAAAAACTTTTGTCGCCTATCCACATAAATCAAGGGGATAAGTATGGAGTCTGCCTAAGGCCTCAAATATACCTCGCGCGATTTCTACAAAATCGGAGCGATCCCGATATGGCAATTTGCCACATGTCCGCAAATCTACCACGTGTGGGATCCAAGTGCACAGACGCAGAGCTTTTGTAATCTTGTGCGTACATGCCAAATCTTGCTTACAGAGTATGCGCCTAAGGAAGACTATGAACAATCATAGCAATAAGAAAGCGGCGACGAGGTATGACCGATCCCTAAGAGTAAAGCTTTTTTGCAGGTAATAGTCCATTTTTATTAATTTCAATAGTTTTTTGTGCACTCTAATGCAGATGACATATCTATGTTCAATTTTCATCCCACCAGTAAGATCCATGAAAAAAAAGTTCATATGTTAATGCGATGCGAACAGGAATGGCAAGGATGAATAGAACTCTGCACAAAGGAAGTCACAAAATTCAATTGGATGTCGGCTTCAGACAGACCACCTTGAATGGCCTAACATCCATCAACTCATTTTTAACGAAAGCCGTATCTTCATAACACTGAGAACAGTCTCCTTGGGAAAAATAAGCTCAACTCTATGCAGGCTAGACTCCTTCAACGGTAATTCCAAGATGCGACCAACACTAACGCCATCTTTGTTTTTCAGTCTCATGTTACTGTTAGATTAGATTGTTTTCTTTTCACATTTCAGGCTGACTTAGAGGTCATAGCTTTGATTTAGCAACATCATACTTCAAACTTATATTATAAGCAGTAAAATGGAAAATAAATAAGCTATTACAACCGCCTGGTGTACCGCTGCGCTTAGATCATAACAATAACCAAGTCTTGAAACTACAGTACTCTAGAATCACTCAGTGTACAGTCGAGTAGATTTCCTGCTTAATATAGTGTCCCTGCAGACGCGACAACGCTGGGGCGTCAATAAATGCCTTGCGAGTTCCCGGCTAGTGTTTTCCAGTGTTTTCTCTGCTTATTTCATGCTTTTTAATTGACTCGTTGCTGATAAAGAGGAAAAGGGTAAGTTAGAGTGTAGTTTCTGTTTTCTGAGAAGTTCTATCATGGCATATTCACAGATATCCGCATGGAAGCAGTTCGCGTCAGCTTCTTGTCTATTTTTTGTCACTTCATGTCTCTTTCTTCTTGTGAGGTACTCCTTTGAACGCTAGTGAGTTTTACGATTGACCTATTGCCTTTATCACATGAAGTACTTGATTAAAATGCTATTTCTTGTGGATGAAAGCCGAAGTTGCTGCAAGGCAAGCCAACTAGCGTTCAAAGAAACGCCTCGCAAGAAGGAAGAGGTTTGAAAGAAGAAGTGACAGAAGAAAAGGAAATGACGAAAAAAATAGACAAAAAGCTGACGCGAAATGCTTCCACGCGGATATTTGTGAATATGCGGTGATAGAACTTCTCTGAAAACAGAAACTACACTCTAACTTACCCTTTTCCTCTTTATGAGCAACGAATCAACTAAAAAGCATGAAATAAGCAGAGAAAACACTGGAATACACTAGCTCGGGAACTCGCAAGGCATTTATTGACGCCCCAGCGTTGTCGCGTCTGCAGGGACACTATATTAAGCAGGAAATCTACTCGACTGTACATCGTTTTGGATGCTTCCAAACTACGCAAACCTTACCTTTGTGAAACGAATACCATAGTTGATGTCACAAGATACGCTTTTACGAATGCTCGAGGCAATGAACTCCTTCTCGTCGTTTTCTCCTCGGCATAGTTTGTAAAGCTGAAACAGTGAGGCCAATTTTGAAACATTAGCAAACTTGTAAAGCTAACATTCCCCCTGGGTAAGCGCAAAAATTTAGAGGAATTCCTTGTGAAATTGCCGATGAGAAAAACTTTTCACCTGCTCTCCGGCCTTTTTACCAAGAAGTAATTCCAAGTCGCTGCGAGGAACTCTTTGTAGATCACTGCATATCTCAACACTGCCTAAAATAAACTGCATTACTGAGAACTGTGAATAGCGAACTAGTGATGCTCGGTTTAGAAGAAGTACAATTCTTGAATACAACTCCTACATTCTTCGACAATGTGCCTTTAGATGAAAACGAAGTGTCAATATAGCTTTTAAAGATAGAAAAGGAAAGAGAAAGAGAAAGAGATTATACCAAGAAAAGATAGAACCTATAAATGTTTTTGCGCATACTGGTTTCGGGGCTAAGAACCAGACCAGATATGCGACCTTCCTTGGTGCCCCCGTGTCGAAACACTTTCATCAGTAGTTCCCAAGGAAGTGTCCAAAACATAACTTATGTGAAGACATAAGAGATATGATGAAACGTAGTAAAGAGAAATTGAAGCAAGCATGTCTTACTGTTATCAGATGTACTTTCGAAGATTCATTCTATTTGAAAGAATTATTTCCTGCCATTATAATCTTAGTTGGTAATGGGCCACGCATTCCGCACCTCATGCACAAGAGGCAAATGCACACTAGTACTAAATCCATATTTACGTAAAATAAAAGGTCTATTTTGAAAGATAAGATATAATGCTCTAATAAAATTATTTCTTTCCCAACCATTTCTTGCTGAAGTCATTCCTATTTCAAAAATTCTCTTTTTGAAATCCAGAAAATCAGAGCAGTTTCTATAGATTCTAACTATTTCGGATGCAAGTGTATTGAATATGATAGATCTTGGTATATTGGACGTCCAATTTGGATATCTAGTAACGTTGAAATTATAATTATCGGTTTTATTATACATAGAAAACTTAATGCTACTTTCTCTAAGGGAGATAGTAAGATCCAAAAAATTCGTTTGTAAGTCTTTGCAAGCTGTTGGTTCAATTTCTAAAGAAGGATGATATATTTCTTTGAGTTTATTCGTAAACAAAGATACGTCGTAGGACATATGTAGTATGTCATCAATGTACCTAAATGTGTAGTTATATACGAATATGTTACTGTTTCTATCCGTCATTTGTTTTCTGATAAAAGAATATTCCATGTATGCTAAAGTAAGATCTGCTATTTGTGGACTACAGGACGCCCCTTGTGGTATTCCCCTAACTTGCTTGTACACCTTTCCTGCAAAATATACATAGCTATATTCCAATAATACATCTAACATGTATAATATGTCCTCTACTTGGTAATATTTACCTTTACCTTCCGTTTCATTGGAGTATTCAACTTTGCCGTTGTAAAGCTTGACGAACTTATATCCTTTCATACATAATAGAATAAGTTTTTTGAGGCTGGTCCTTACGACATTATGAGGTAGATTAGTGAATAGACTCGAAAAATCCGCCGAATAGATTTCCAAATGACTAGTGTTACTAGTAAGTTCCTGTATGACTTGTCTACTGTTATCAATCGCCCAAAAGTGTTTAACGTTGGTTCTTAGCTTAATGACGTTACAGTAGTTACGAAAATGTTTACAAAAGTGAGATAGTATTATCTGTAGGATATTTGTCAATGGTTTCAAAATACTTCTTTTCGCTCCAGTTATAAATCTAAACTTGATAGGATCTTTATGCATTTTAGGAATTCCATATATCCTTGGTATTTCTATGTAATCATGTCTGTTTTTAATGCCCAACCCGTTCAATTTGTTACATTGTATCCTCTTTACTTCTTCTAAATCAAATGATGTTTGTACGTACGTATTTTCACCCGCTCCTATTCTTTCCATTTCTTGTTTTAGCATATGCATGTAAAGTTTCTTGCATATTACACAAAAATTAGAACTGGCTTTGTCTACAGGGGTAATAACAAAGTGTTTATGAATAGAAGATAAACTACTGTAGTTATAGTCATCTCCTTCTATTAGTTTATTATTGTATAATGAAAATAATTTCGGTTTGAGGCGCTTTTTAACATATCTTCCGACCTCTAACAAGAGAGTGTTAGCAGTCGTAGTATTAACTTTTGTTATATTGACTATTTTCGCAACTATATTACTTACTAACTCATCTACTACTAAATTAACGTCATTTTTTGAAATTCTATAATGAAGTCTATACTTAGTACCTTTTCTAAGTAATTTTTTGAGCTTAGTATCTTCTATTATGTCAAGATTACCCGTACATATGTGCTTCAGATTACTATCAATAAATGCTGGGTACCTGTCACACACGCATGGATTATTTTCTAGGTCTCTTACGCTGTTAGTATCTAATTTTTTCAAAAAGCTATTATAATTGCATATTTGTACTCCTATAGGTTTATCCAATTTATACCTAATAACGAACTGAGCTTTATCAACTACATCTGTTCGTTGTGTATGTTGGATTAGGATTCGCTTGACCGCGTTAGAATTGCATATTCTACGAAGATTCAGTTTTTCTATAATCTCACCTAGATAAGGTATAGTAATGGCCAGCTGTTGCCAAAGACATAGCGGCTGCATGACAATAATCATAAATTACGAAGATATCGTTTCAGGGTCAATGGCTTGCGAAGCATTTATAACAGTTCGCTTAACTCCTAATGAGCGATGATAATGCTGTTGTTTTTTTCAGAAAGAATCTGCCCAAAAAGATAGCGTTCTAATAGAAATTCGGAATTGTACATTAACTTCGCAGAGAAAGAACTAGTTCAAACCAGTCCGAAGATCCCGACGGCACACGGTTCTCAAGTGTAACTACTCCAGACCTCGACGAAATGAAAGATACTTTTGAGAAGTGAATTGTTCCCTAAGAACCGATAGTCAGCGTAAATGCAAAGAGTTCCGGATACTACACCCTTTGTCTTTACGCTTATAATCAGCTTGGAGGAAATAGAGATAACACAAAATGCCAACTTGGATATCTGATTAGCGTATTGTTGAGTCAAATATTTTTACAATAAGATACGCATCAGATAGATTAGCAAAGAAGAGGTATCTCTTACTAGCAAGCCTCGAAGAAGCATTCAACAAGTGAAAATATCAACTGTAAATGCTCGCATAGTGCAGCTCTAACAAGAACCTGATAACAAACACCTTCGCCCTCCACCCCCTGCCCCCTGAGAAGGGGTCACGAAATCTTCGAAGTGGCCCACATCTTATATATAAAGCTGAATGTCTGTTTGTATGTCTGTCTGTCTGTCTGTGTGTCTGTATGTATGTCTGTCTGTCTGTGTGTACGTATGTTCCGAATAGAAAATTCCATTTCTGAACCGATCGGGACCAAACTTAGCACACATACACTTCGGGCTCCGGCGGGTGTCATAGGCTACTTTTCGTCATTGATCGATATCGATTTTATCGATTTTTTGCAAAATTTGAGCTACGGGGCTGGGAGTTGGCAGAGGGGTGTAATCGAGCATGCTGATCACCCCCACGGGGCCCGAAGTGTATGTGTGCCAAGTTTGGTCCCGATCGGTACAGAAATGGAATTTTCTATTCGGAACATACGGCGGAGCCGGGTAAGCCAGCTAGTGAGCTATAAAAATACGCAGTGACTCGCTTTCACTTCTTAATAATCAATCAATTTCTCGAGAATTGTAGTCTTTAAAAAGAGTTTTTTGGGTGCATGTCCGCCGCCAAGCTCCTTCTCTCAGAGTTTCGAGGTTATGAGCTTGCAATTTCGAGAAGGGGCCTAAAAAATTTCCGAAGCTCTTGCCCATTTCATAAGGATATGGTACATTGAAAAGGGAAGCCCACTGGCCTCAGCGGCACATTTGCCACTAGGGCCCGGCACAGCTGAAACGGTCAAGCTGGATATCCTTTCGGGGGAAGAAGCAAAGGGGATATCGTTTTCGCAGCACGCAACCGGCATGTCCTACCCCAAACAAACAAAAGCTATGTTCAAAACAAAACACAATGGTATGAAACCAAATTTGGTGTGAGCATACGCATGAGTAAACTCGAACAACGGCCCATATGCCCATATGAACTGCGGCCTATAAGAACTTATGTGGAAACCTGTGTTATTTTTCCGAATTAGCCAGAATCGTTCCCGCTGAGCTCCAATCAAGCTGGAACCGACCGTTTGTTCATAATTTTACATACCTCTTTGCATACTTTGTTTAATCACCGTGAAAGTTTTAATGTGAGCAAAAAACTGTTTCATCTTCCCTCTAAGCTTATAGCTCCGAACGCGAAGGCGCCCCCCAAGCAATCCAGGCCCTTAGTGAAGCATGCTTTCCTAAAGAGATGTGAAGGGGAGGGAACAAATAGTCGCTGATAGTATCCCTTGTGAAATGTCTATAAGCTCCTGCAAAACGAAGGCGGTTGGTTCGAGGCGCGACGTGGCTGTGACGCGGCTGTGACGCTGCTGTGACGCAGCCATGTCGCAGCCGCGTTGCACATTGAACCGACCGCCTTCGTCTTGCAGGAGCTTATAAGCCTTCACCAAGATTGATATAGCGTTTATTAGGCTAACGTTTCGGCCAACTCGCCTTCGTCAGAGCCTTAAACTTGAGGTCGAGACCACCCACCACCGAGTGTCATGCAGTCGCTGATAGGTTCCGGCCCGACCATGGGAAAAACGCATTTGGCGCATGATGTGGAAAGTAATTGAAATTTTTTTCAAATTTCCTTATAAATCTGAATACTTTCGGCTGGTACCGTGCCCTGTCTACCAACAAGCTCTCTCAAGTAGCTATGCTGGTAACAAGTAATAGTACCATCGAAGCGCACTTAACCAGGTGGTTACCCCTTCCGAATAGGAGTAAAAATCTGGTGGGAGATAGGAGGTAAGAGTCTACCACTCCTCACCGAAATTGCTGACGAGTTTTGCATAAGTCTGATGTCCCATTCCTGGCAGATTCTTGACCTAAAAACGAAAATAACTTGCTGGAGACTGTATCAACCAAACAACCTTTTCGTTAGCAACAAAAAGATCAGATTCTTCCGCAGGCACGTATCGCACTCCATCAGGTTTAGCATGTCGAGTTGCCAAACGTGCCAGCAAAGTGCTTTTACCTGAACATTTACATGAGTCGACGAGACACAATACAAATCGAATGTGACGTGATTCTGATCCAACATTTTAAGGAAAGTGTGCATATTGATTATGCGACAACAAACCTATTCCGACCGAAGCTGGGCAACCAGTTTCCTGTTTTATTTCTGCTCGTAGGTGTTCCGCAAACGCCACAGCGTCCCCAATATGCATCTGCAATGGGATGTCGAGATAAAAGTCAGTGTAACTTTTAGCTATTCATTTTATCAGTGACATGTTTATACCTCATTCAGAAGTTTTGTGCAATCTACATACATCTCATCGCATGAAACTGCTCTGATTTCAAGAGTATATCTAGAATTCAGAAATCATTCTCTTGCCATACATGTCAAAATCGAATTCACCTACCGCGATACTATATTATAGATTGCTTTTGAGACTTTCCGATATTCATCAAAAGCATAAGGAAGACAGATCAGTTGAGGGCAACGCTTGATAGCATCACAAACCATCATCCCATTTCGAAGCCCGCAACTACGAGCGGGGTAACTAACACTAGCTAGTTCAGAGAAACCTCCACCAACACCCTTGAAATAATGAATGTTATCAACAGTATGTAAGAGATTAAGTCCAACCTTACTGTGGGTGATAGCAATAGGTTTATCTTTGAGGTCAGGCCGATCGCGTAGAGCTACTGACACAAAGAAGCAATCCAGATCAACATGAAAGATAGTACGAGCAAAGCTAAACAGATCTTGCCAGACAAATGGACAAAATGTGCAAGTATTGCTCAGCGGTTTACTGAGGTATTCAAACACTCACGGCTTAAAACTGTCATTTCTCAAATATTTAAGTGATTCGCGTCCAGGAAAAGACTGTTGCTCGCTGGCACGAAGTGAGCACACGTAGTCTTTCAGTTCCTGGGCGAGGGTTGAAATCAGATGCAATCGAGATCTAAAGACAACCGCGTTTAGGACGAATAAACATAAGCACTGAACTACCACATTAGACACCGCCACGAACCACCAACACAGGATTTATTAGGTTAGCGCGAAAGGTCCTGCGTATGTTAGGGATGCTCACTTTCCAGAATCTAGATCGCTAAGATAGAGTTTTGTCCTGTAGTTACCAAGAGGTAGGGTTTATGAAAACACAGATAATTTGAAACCATTCAACAGTTAAAATCTCCTTATTACTGCATTTTTTGCATAATATAGACAAAAATGGAAATTGAACCTAGAGTTTACATAAACCACGCCGACGTTTTTTTTTAAGTGTGTAGTTGTGGTACTGCACGGAAAAATGCATTGATAAGAGGATAGGAGGGTGTTTAGATAAAATGACGTTCTTAGGGATAACTTGTCTTTTGACTTTCATGAAACAAAATGATCTTGCCGTAACGTAGAGACTATTGTTATGCCAAACAATCATTACAGTTTAGTTTCTCGGAGGCTAGCTAGCCTAACTTGATTTTGATTATGATTTTGAGACCAAGCTCAAAAACACGAGATTTGATTTGAGCTTGTTTTTCTGAGGTCTAACCAGTAAAAATTTTCGTTTGAATGGGAAAGCGTAAAGCGCCCTTCTTGAATTTTCCGGCACACACGAATATGAGTTTGAGATTTAGAAAGATTGAATTTTATTGGATTACGCAAGAACTTTCGCGCTACGACATGTCATCTTAGAGAATGATCCGCAATCGTGCCACTCATCCTTACTTTTGCTTCAGGAGCTTGGTTAGACTTTCTCCACCACTGATTAAGGCACAAGTAATGAAAGTGATCCAAAATAACCGTCATACCTCGCATAGAATTCTTCCAAGAAATTAGGGTCGCGGGCGTCCAAAATTTTATCTTCATTCTGTTCTGAAAAACTATGCAGCTTTAAACCTCAAGAGTAAAAAACTGACAATAGTATTACGTGGTGGCTTCCTTTGCAAATTAGTCAGTGTAGTCTCTTTTCTTTGTGTTGGAAGCAGAATATAATTCTCTACATCCATGAGTTTACCATTAGCAATGCTGAAAGATTGTATGGGTTAGAATTCTTGAACTGCTGTGGTAATAATAGTAACAACTAGTATTAGCGGAACGAGGGGAGGCGGTTATCGAAGGTACCCCCGCCCCCTCTCTACTCCCCCAAAAAGAATTCTCGGACTGCCACTGGCTACCACAACAGAACATGGTCACCATAACAAAAATCAGAATTGGAACAAAAAAGAAAAGATAGTAATGCCAAAATCGCGAAGAAAGGATCATTTACGTCAAAGGAAGTTAGTCCCAATTCATTCAGGATTAGAATGAACTACTCTAGAGTATCTACGGATAAAAAATTACAATCATAGTGGAAGTCATAGCGCCTTCGACTGACATAGCCGATCACGTACCTATCCACAATCCACTCCGGACGGACAAACTTCTCATTCTGTCGAGTTTTCGATACCTATATGACACTTCTTGATAAATTTAGTAGCAACAATTTATGTAAAGTATTCGAAGCCTCAAAACGCGTGCTACGATGGCAGTGTTGCGTTGATAATGTAGCAAAGAAAAACTATTTAAACATATACCTTCGCAGATGCCAACGACGTAGCAATGACGTATGAGGTGACACCGTACTCATAGTAGCAATGATATTCTCCGCCATGTAACTGGATTAGCTGGCGTAACTCCAGGGCAGTAGGCTCTGGAAATTACCAGAAATGTGATTTTGATTGAACAAGAATCTAGCAGCAAAACTGTGACAACTTTGTCTTGAAGTTAATTACAGTCATTGAATTGCCGATACTCATCCTTGTCGGTATAAAGTCTATATGGTTTTATAACAGTGCAATCATGCCCGATCATCAAGCTAACAATCATGCTCTTTTTGCAAGGTGGCCTTTCATGGAGTTACGATAGATATACGGTACGGGACCAAAACCACAGCTTGCTCTGAACTTTCTACGGGGCTAATAGGCACGATGAACATGTACATCATTGATTTTTCAGTTAGTTTTGTTGGACTACGGCTGATATACGGTAAATGGGTCGGAAGTCCAAATTTGCAAAAATTTTGCCCGGAGAGGTGTTAAAGCATGCTGATTGCGCATAATCAAGCTCGCATCAGTGAGCCTTTTTCTGTTTTAGGGTAATTTGCAGAGTATAGGTAAACAAATCTCGGGCTTTTCAAGGCAATCTAGATCTCAGAAGCCTACGAAAAGGCCTTAGGTGAGATGAGTGCGATATGCGTTCGATCGATGTCGATTTTACCGATTTTTTGCAAAATTTGAGCTAGGGGGCTAGGATTTTGCACAGGGGGGTAATCGAGCATGCTGATCACCCCGAAGGGGTGATCAGCATGCTCGATTACCCCCCTCTGCCAAATCCCAGCCCTCTAGCTCGAATTTTGCAAAAAATCAATAAAATCGATATCGATCGATAACGAAAAGTAGCCTATGACACGCTCCCTGCCCTGAAGTATATGTGTGCCAAGTTTGGTCCCGATCGGTTCAGAAATAAAAATTTGTATTCGGAACATACGTACATACATACATACAGACAGACAGACATACAGACAGACATACAGACAGACAGACAAACAGACATTCAGCTTTATATATAAGATATACAAATTTGACCACCTATTATACCTACCGTAACTCCATAAAAAGTCCGAGAACGCAAAAAGTATAAGATTTCACAAAGTTTGGACCAAATTGTAATTTCGAGCTTTCAACCGTACACCCATCGTAACTAGAGAAATCGCTCTGATGCGAATTCCATGATATTTGGGTTTAGCGTTCCTAGTAATCCCCCCCCCTTAGGGAGAGTCTCGAACAAATCGTGATTTCGACCCCTCCCTCCCCCCCCCCCGTGCACTTCCGTAACCACAAATGGAGATGTTTTCGCGAAGAAAAGTGTGGTATTTGTTGTCAACATGTCATATAACCCGCACAGACGAGTTTGAGCAAAAACCGCGGCAAAAAAAATATCGGGAACCGGATAGACGAATAGCGCCAAAATCTATGCTCCGACCTGTATGGCCATTGACAAAAATGGAGATGCCTTTGAAAATCTCTGATGACCTCTGGGCAGGGCGATCGAGAACATTGACTTGGTAGCGAAGCTTATCTTTCTTCAGTTGCATGTAGTAACCCTGAATTGTATTTAGATAGAAGATGTGTCAGAAAAGCAAGAGCTGTCCTACAAAGTTACTCGTAGCATCAGCATCTTTTCCCAAGCGACTCATTGACTCCTCCATTTTATCTCGCAAGTCTAAGGCCCGTATGCACGTACATCCCCGCGGGGAGGGGATGTGCGCTTAACCATTGAAATGATCCCCGCTGGGGATCCCCTCCCCTCCCCGCGCGAACCCCCGTATGCACAAAGACAATATCGTACAAGGGATCCCCTGTGGGGAGGGGAAGTGAACCCTCTTATGCACAAGAGGGGATCAAGCGGGGAAATCACCTTGCTTTCAAATTTTCTATGAAAAGCTCTTTCTTATTTCATATTTTAAATGCAACTCATCTTCATCTCCTCACTTCAATTAATTTAGGGTTGCGGAATGTGCGAACTGCGCTCGGGGCGCTAAAAATGATTTTTTCTATTCCCATTATGTTCCTGCTTTCTTGGATGCTGCCCACTTTCGTTCATGCTGCTCCATTTCAGCGTCAAAATGTTGAACTATAGAAGTTGATGTGTCTCTGCAAGGGAATGGGTAGAAGACGTTATGCTGCCGAAAAGGGGGGGGGGGGTGCCGCGCGGACGCTCAAAGCAGTATTCTAACACATAACAGAAGCTGCAAATCGTGCCAGCTTTCCATAAACGCTGTAACTATCAGCTGCATATCGTCGTTTATCCCAGGGGAATGATCCCCAGCAGCCATCCCTGCTATGCACAAGGGGAACGCTGGGGAGGGGATCACTCCCCAAGGGATTTCTACTTTGAAATAGGCAAATATGCTACTTTCTAGATTTTATCGAGACAGCTTATGTTAAAAAAACAAGATAATGGCAACATGTCATGAAATATGAAAGTTACAGTGTGTTTATTCAGCCTATATAGTTAAAACTATTATGTTATATGAAAAATGCGCAAATTTCCTGAATGATCAAGAACTCCTACAAATAATCGAAATTGGCAGCTATTGTTGCTCGGATTTCTTCGCAAGAGGCGAATATAGAAAAGAAAGACAAATTGCAAGCAACAGGTCGCTGAGAGAAGAACCCGGCTTTCAAAGAAAATCCTCCATCAAAATGAACGAAATGCTTGGTAATGACTGAGCAGAACCAGAATATCCGCGTCTCTGGCATGATCTACACCATCGAACCCCTACTTCGTTGCAGGGGATGTCGATCCCCTCCCCCGCGTTATTGAGTTGAATTCGCGCATACGGGGTTCGATTGGGGAAGGGAAGGGATCCCCTCCCCCATTCGAACCCCGTATGCACTGGGGTTCGCTCGATCAATACCTCTGAAATCATTCACACCATCCCCGCTTAGGTGCAGGGGAGGGGATCGCTCCCCTCCCCTCTGTCATGGCGGGGTTCGGCGGAGGGGATCGTTCCCCTGGGGATCCAACTCCCCTCCCCTCCCCAGCGGGGACGTACGTGCATACGGGCCTAAATCCGTAGAAGCGCTTGATTTCATGTCTCGGGGACTTTTGCGAGGCTCTTCATCTAAGGCTTTCACCCCTATAGTTGTGCTATGCTCAGGTGCTGCAGCGTTATGAGAAGCGATGCACTTCTTCTCAACACTGGCATCGTTCTGAAAAGCGAAAGCTTCCTCAGGGAAACAAATGAACGATTCAACATACGAGAAGGATGATCAACTCTACAACATAATTACCTCATCATTTGGGCACTGCATGTCCGTAAACGTCACAACATTAGTTCCTCCTGAAAATCATGAAATTTCGCAAATTAATCTGACTTCATAGTTATATACCTTGCTCCATTTCTGCCACATCACAACTGTCCTCATTGTTAACAAACAAGTCTTCGGAAAGATTTGAAGCATTACTTTCGTCGTCGCTCATGATGATAACCGATGCCTGAGACTTTGCTGATCAAAGCATAACACCAAGAAAATATACAAATACTCACATCTCCCACTTGCAACTGTGTCTCATGTGAGCTCATGGCTATTATCCCACCTTGTATAACACCTGCAAATCGTTTTTTTTTCGTAAAACAATGTCACCAAAATCTTTTTCAAGGAAAAAAAAGCTTCGCATCCAGAGGTGCGATAGGGGGAGCCAAGTCTCCCCCTACCTTCACTTTTGAGCTGGTACGGGGTGACCACCTTCACTTTTGGAATAAAAAATTTTTCGCTGGACGACAAAGAAGGAAAATAAGCAAAACAAACGCAAAAAAGATTATTGAAAGCATATATTTATGTATACGGCGGCATATATATTTAAAATAAAGGTTTTTAGTAAATGGTGTATTTGGAAGTAAAACTTAGCAAAACTGTACGGATTTTATTAAGCAAATTACGTTATAACGTATAGCGAAGGAAGTAGGTCGATCCAGGCAGTAACGGCGGAGAACCAGAATTTTGAATATTTAAATAGTGAAAAATCATGCAAAATTTCCACTGTTATAAATCTGTTGTTTGAAGATGTCAGCAGTTGCGACTTCATAGGTTTTGAAGAGTAGATGTTGCTCTATCAGCTAGTGAAGGAATCGGGTCGATTTAAGAGATAGTCGTTGAAAACCAGAGTTCTAAAACTTTACGCCATTTTTGCGTGTTTTTTGACTGTTGAGAGTTAAACTCTTATAAATCTTGAATGTGGAAGTGTATGATGTTGCGACTTCATAGGTTTTATAGAGTAAGGTTTGCCTTATCAGAATATGTCTTGTCCGTTCCGATCCATTGAAACACCTCCGAGATCCAGAGTCATGAAAAAGCAGGTAAAAAAGAGCTTTTTGAACTTCAACAGCTCATAACTTCTTCAGAATTGCACGAATCATGTTGCGACTTCATAGGTTAGATTCTTCTCGTCAAGAGCTTTCAGATGATATATAATATGTGGGGGTTTAGAGCCTCCTGCGAATTATGACCGGGGGGGGGGAGACTTTTTAGGCCAAAGTCTCCCCCTCGCCCATTTTAATGTATTGGCTGGAGGCTGCCGGGGGAGACTTTGGCCTAAAAAGTCTCCCCCCCCGGGCATATGCCGTAAGAGGCGCGAAACCCCCACATATTATATATCATCTGAAAGCTCTTGACGAGAAGAATCTAACCTATGAAGTCGCAACATGATTCGTGCAATTCTGAAGAAGTTATGAGCTGTTGAAGTTCAAAAAACTCTTTTTTACCTGCTTTTTCATGACTCTGGATCTCGGAGGTGTTTCAATGGATCGGAACGGACAAGACATATTCTGATAAGGCAAACCTTACTCTATAAAACCTATGAAGTCGCAACATCATACACTTCCACATTCAAGATTTATAAGAGTTTAACTCTCAACAGTCAAAAAACACGCAAAAATGGCGTAAAGTTTTAGAACTCTGGTTTTCAACGACTATCTCTTAAATCGACCAGATTCCTTCACTAGCTGATAGAGCAACATTTACTCTTTAAAACCTATGAAGTCGCAACTGCTGACATCTTCAAACAACAGATTTATAACAGTGGAAATTTTGCATGATTTTTCACTATTTATTTATTCGAAATTCTGATTCTCGGCCGTTACTGCCTGGATCGATCTACTTTCTTCGCTGTACGTTATAACAAAATTTGCTTAATAAAATCCGTACAGTCCAACAAACTTCTACTTCCAAATACACCATTTACTAAACACGTCTATTTTAAATTTTTATAAATAAAATTTATAGATATTTTTAATATTCATCGTATCTGTGGCCCTAAAGAGGGCCGTTGGGTCGACGTTAGACCTAGAAAGATAGCTCCGTTCGTCCGTTCTATCCTCCCCCCGCACCTCCCCCCCCCCCCCCCCCCCCGTCGACGTTTTTGGGAGGTGAGTGTCCGACACTACCACCTTCACTTTTGGCCGGCCAGTGGTAGCTGAAACCACCTTCACTTTTGGGGGACCCGGCTCCCCCTATCGCACCTCTGTTCGCATCTCGAGCGTGAATGATCGGGAGATCAAAAGGCGCAATCCAAGCACAAACACTCGCTCAGCAAGAAAAATACTATATTTAGCAGTTTGGCCTTCCACTTCCATTTCTTTTTTCATTTTTCCTCGATACCATCTACTGGCAACACGACATCGCGGAAGTGAAAAGAGATAGAAAGCTTGTTCATTCTAGACGGAGCGCTTAATAGCGGACCAATTTGAGGTACCATACCCATGACTGCTGAAGGAAGACTGCGTAGACTGTCACAATGTGAGTATATGTGAGTATCACAGCTCTAGTGGCTCGGATCTGCGCGGCCGCCTCGCTCACAAATCGCTATGCACATAGTGCCTCCGTTTTTTTTTCAACGCCAGTCAGCAAAAAGAGCTGTTGACTTGGGAAAATGCCCCGATATTTATCTTCGTGAATGCGGCGCAAGCTTGGACCCGAGAGGAGCGGCCATACTATTCCAACGATTCCCGTGATCTTGCGATCCCCGTAATTCCTGCGATTCCTGGACTTTCTATGCGCCGCAACGCCGCGGTTTGTCGTTGGGTGTTGCGTAGGAAGAAATCGGAGAATCGTAGATCACAGTACAAAATGTTAGTATCAAATAATTACATCACTATCGGCTGTGTAATTTTTCGTTCGGCAGCTTGATTTTTCCCATTGATTGGCTGAAACTAAGAAAGCGAATATTAGGTTGCTGCATAAGTTCTGTCCGATTTGAAATCTTTGAGTTCAAAATGTCATAACTTCTTTCAAAGTCAACTTTTTTCCAAGATCTTAGTTTCTTTATGATGAGTAGTTCCTTGGCTATCAGATACATATTGAGACTTGCAAAAATCTTTGTTAATGAAGAAGCAAGAACTCAAAAACTTCACAGCGTTTTTCTTCAAACCTGTCTTTTTTGACATGGCAATGCTCCCTTATGAGAATTGATAGACATCTTTTCTAACAAAGGTTAGATAGAGAATTTTTCGTAAATTTATTTGCACCACAAAAGAGCCCATAGGCTCTTTGTTGCCGAGAGATTTTTTTGACCGAATAAAAAATTATCCACTTTTTGACCTCGCTTCAGCGCATGTGTGCGTGCCTATTTACAAATTATGAAAATTTTACAACTGACGTGAGCGGCGAAAAGGAATTGGTGGATAGTCCTGATAGCTCTTGCTTTACCCTAGCACCTTCAACTTTGAACTCGTCGATTACTTCTATTCGCAGAAAGTTATTGCTTGTTAAACATCAATACAAAAAATTAATGTTCGACAACAAATTTTACTAGCAAGACGTTTTCTTCATGGAACTGAGCTTCTGCGTATACTAGCATTCTACACCCTCATTCCGCAACCAATGAAAGAACTTGACTTCAAGGGCGCATTGTGGAGATTTCCTCGCAAGAACATATTTCTACGGTGAGAACGTACCTCAGCCACTTAAAGATTTGAAGAAATCGCTCGCATGCGATTTAGAGCGGCGCGAATTAGCAGTTTTGGCTTTCTTGGACTTCGCTTGTATATTTTGCCCTCCAGGCATTCATTCAAATTCGATCTACGAAACACCAAGCAGCAAAGCGCGGCGTTATCGCGGCGCATAGGAAGTCCAGGGGAATCGCAGGAGTCGTCACTGGAATCGCAAAGCCACAGGAATCGCAAGAATCGCAGGAAAAGTATGGTCGCTCCCTAGCCGTAATGCCATAACACTCACATTGATACGGACCATACACATCCGTGAACCATAGCATGTCAATGACTTCTCAAAAAAGTCCAAACAGAACTGCAGACTTCCGCATTATATGTATCTAGGTATCTAGATACATATAATGCGGATGCAATACATATAATCTAGATTATATGTATCTAGGTATACCATTGCTCCACACGTTAGAGGCAAGTGGATACGCGACAATAAATGCGAAGTGCTCATCGCTAAGGCTCATTTCTCTTGGTCAAAGAAAAGTGAAGATTAAATAGCTGCCAGGCGACCTGTTGATATGGAAACTAAAGGTTATGTGACCAAAAGTGCTGAAGACGGAGGTGGGCCATTGCCGCAACAGCACCGGCCGTTGTATTAGCGCTGTGCCCACTGCCTTCTATCTTTTCTGTTACGCGTAATGACAAAGTTACACCGACTGGAGCGATAAGACACCTACACCGACACCTACAGTCTATAGCGGCAAAAGAATTTCCCGTAAAAATAGATCTCTATGGTAAAAAAAAAGTGGCTGGCGTGCTCCAAGGCTAATGGTCACGCGTGCTGGGTCAGCGATTTATTGACCCGCGACGTGTTGCGCTGGCACACTCTCGGCGCTGATTTACACATTTGCATATCGATTGGTTCGCACTCTTGATCTCATTATTCATTGAGTAAGATATAGTGTAAGTATGCGTAAGTATTCCCTTCTCTCAATAAATTGAACAGTTTTTGAGTTTTGTGTCGTTTACCGTTCGCTTTTGGTTGGTCGGCCACTTTCGCTCATTCGCTAAATGCTTGGCTCACGTCGCAAATCTGCCAACTATCCGGTTTCCGACTGATGGGTATCTTATGAGTACGCGTCTATCAGTCATTATATAATGTGTTTGTTTCTTTACCTCATTTTCCCCACACTGGCGACTTTAACTTTTGTATGGTGGCAATTGTCAATGACTTGGTTGTATTATGCGGTCCAATTTTTAACTCCTTTTTTATGATTCTAAAATGGATATTGCTAAAACTTGTTGGGTTCACTTTAAAGTCCTTACGTTAGCAGTACGACATCTGTGCAATAATGTATACAAGCTAGCACCAATGTACCTGTAACTGAAGCCTACTGTTTGAATTACTTTGTTTTTTTTTTGATGTCATCGTGTTGCTTCATGGCAGACATTCATTTCAGTTTTGTCCATCGTAGCAAAGAGAAATCAGTTTCAAATGACAAAGGAGTATTAAACAGGAGGAGTATTAAACATATGCATGTCTGCAGCTCTTCAACGGTGCAAATGCCAATCCTCCTGCCTTGTGCACTTGTTCGATATGTTCAAAATCTGCAATTGATGACTTATTATCATCCGCAAAGCTTTATAATGTACTGAAAATACCTGTTTACACTTCTGACTCTCGTTTCATTGGCTGTTATGTTTGGTTTTTTTTCATAATCCCAATCCACAGTTGTTGTGTTTCCACTTTCTTTTTTTGAAGGTGATTCTAACTCGTAGCTTCGTTGCAGTATGTCTTCTGTAGCGGTCGTCAATGGTCAGCCTCGTGATCCTACATCCGCTACATCAAAGGAAAATAATCAAACGCCTGGGCCACCTCCTCCGGTTCCTCCACCAACACAGTCAGGTTAGTTGTACACGAATTCAGCTCATCTCCTTCAATTTGATGACCGCGTACAGTATACAAACAGCAGGACCTATTGTGAGTCAAGCACAGTCTTCCCAGCCTCAACTAGGTAATTCTACTGTACCACAAACAAATTCTGCTCCACAAAGAGACAACCGCAGAAGTGAAATATATAGGTGAGTTGTAAAGCGGTTTTTGATTATGACATCCATTCATAGATTAATCATCTTGCGAATGTTTTATGCAGTCTGTGAAGCATAGCTTTGTACAGGTATTCTGGTCCGAAACCCCTTTTTGCGGCTGCTTGGGCAAACAAAAACGATAGGCGATTTCGTTTGGCTGTTGGCAGCATTGTGGAGCGTGAACAAGGAAACAATGTATGTTTCGTAGTTCGTTGTTCGAATTTCTTTTTTGTCTATGCCATTATATCGGTTTGGTTCTGCACGGTTACTCTCTGTAATTTAACATTTTTTACCTGAACCGGCTATTTTTTGTAATCAAGCAGTCAAGAGAAATAGAGATTGCTTCCTGTGCTGCTGGCGCTGAACTTGATGTTTTATGAGCAATTATTCAAAATTCTGCTTTGAACGCCTTTTTGCAAAACCTCTTTTTGGTGGTCTCGGTCTGATTTAAGAACTTTTTAGGTGACATTAATAGAATTAGACGAGGGCCTAGGTCAACTTGTGGAGAGAGGGAGCTTCAGTCATGAGTTTCCTGCAAACCAAATTGGTTTCATACCTGATCTTGTAAGTTTCGTAGAGCTCATATTGTATCATCAGCGTAGGTGAACTTGTAGGAGAACAAATACCCGGATTTGTTGGCCACGAGTGCCGATTTCCTGCGGTTATGGCGAATACATCCCAACAATTTAGTTACGGAAGAAGCTGTTTTGAGTAGCGTATGTTGATTTTTTCGTGCATGATATGCAAGCTCTTTATTTATCTGTTTTCAGAACAAGTCATCTCAGTTTACTGCACCTCTTACAAATTTTGATTGGAATGAAGTTGATCCGAGGTTGATAGGGACCTCAAGCATAGATACCACCTGTACTATCTACGACGTTGAGGTTGATCATTCAATTTTTGTATCTTGTTGTTTTCATCACATCAATTTTAGGCACAGCAAGCTGTCGGGTTGATACGACCTATCACATTCAGTGTGAAAACACAGCTCATCGCTCATGACAAACCTGTACATGACATCGCTTTTAGTCGCATTTTCAATGGGAAGGATAACTTCGCCACCGTAGGTAAGTTCAGAGTTTGTTTTTGCTGTTGTTCGATGCTGTTTTCAATTTTAGCTTTTGATGGGCATCTTTCGCATCGCTTCTTTTTCGCCCTCGCATTTTCCCAATGAGAAAATTTTTTTCTCAGTGGTTTAAATAACGAATAATAATTATAAATAATAATAATAGCAATCAAAGTATATAATACATTAATATCAATGTTAATGTTAATATTGATATTAATATTAATATTAACATCAATAATAATATTAATAATAGTAATAATAACAATATTATTTTTTTAAACTAATATTTAAAATGATGATTTCTCACCTCTTACGTTTGCAATATATTCTATGTTAACAACATATATGTTAAGTTTGTTCTTATCAGGGTGTCCCAAAAAATGTATCCACTGTTTGTTTGTTAATAACTCTCTTATTATGAAGTCTTTCGAGAAGCGGTAAGCGCCATTTTGTAGAACTGGCTTCAACTTAGATTTACTGTATAGAGCGAGTCGTCCATCTTTCTCCGTTACTGTAGGATTACGGTAGAAACTTGAAAGAGGGTTTTGGGCCATGAAAGGCCATATTGTGCATCAGAAAGGAATAAACAGCCTGAAAACTTTTACACTGGGCCAATTAAAGTTGCTGATTCTAACTGCAAAGTTTCCAACTTATTATGATGCTTCACTGAAGAGTTATGCGAGGTAAGCAGTAGCGGCCATTTTCTCAAATTCCTAAAAAGTGCGGTTACACCGTTTAGAAAGCTTCGCAATTTTGAGAATAGTTGAGTATTGAACTCAGCGTCCCTAAAAACCCTATAAAAAACCCCTTACACAAGTCTTCACATCTTTTTGGAAATTTTTGAAACGGCAACTTTTTCACACCATATGTTCCAAGTTTCTACCGTAATCCTACAGTAATGAAGAGCGGTCGGTGATTCGCTCTATACTGTAAATCTAAGTTGAAGCCAGCTCTACAAAATGGCGCTTATCGCTTCCCAAAAGACCTCATAATAAGAGAGTTATCAACAATCAAACAATGGATACATTTTTTTTTGGACACCGTGTATGTTAATTAACAGCACAGCAACAGCCTGAAGTGCCAGTCATCTGGCTATACTGACTTACGCAAAGTTGTAATGGTAGCTGCTGGTCTGTTTATGAAATGTGATTCGCAGTATTTGTAGAGCCAATTCCTCATATGTGCCGCAAACCTTTGGCGTCTGCTTTAGTGCACAACATTTTTTTTTGATAGTATTCATTTCTCATCATCTCCATGATCTAGGGGCTGATGGAAGTGCAAGAATGTTTGATTTGCGGCATCTAGAACACTCAACCATAGTGTACGAGGATCCCTTGAAACTTCCACTTATGCGGGTTGCATGGAACAAACAAGAGCACTATCACCTTGCTACATTCGCTCAGGATTCTACAGAGGTGAGGTTTCTTTTGCTATTATCATGATATTTGTATCCATTACTCAGGTTATAATAATTGATATCCGTATGCCATGCAGTCCTCTTGCACGTCTCAAAAACCACAATGGTGCCGTAAATGGGTTAGCTTGGGCTCCTCATAGTGCTCACCACATCTGTACAGCAAGTAGGTTTTCTTGACTTTTTTTCATAATGTACAGAGAGAATTTTAATCTGCCGCCTCAGCACTTTCAACTTTCGGCTTTTTGAGTTGAAGCAGCTAGGCTTTGACAAAATGGAAAAACAGACTATGCACATGCACAACTAAAGTAGACTGATGAACCCTAGTACCACTCGTGGTTCTGTTTAGAGTTCATTCAAAGGTTACATAAACATTTGAAGCGGCTGATTATACTAATGAAGCCAGAGCAGCCACTCTTGTCCATTTACATCGCAATCCCGATCGTTGTAACAACCGAAATCTTTTGCTAAATGATTGCATCGATTTTTTGATGATCGTTGAAACTTTTGATCTTGATTATTGCATACTTTCTTCTGAGTTTGTTTCTTCACTAAAAAGCTTGAGAACAGCGCCCCCCCCCCCTCCTCCACCTCCTCACCCGAACAGATTTTTTGGGCCATTGCTGATGGTTAACCCAGCGACTTAGCTGCATTTGCCCATTTGCAGCAAAGTCAAAATATATATTAGGTCGTTTCAAAAGTAATTTCGCTTTTTTCAAACGGGCGCCACATTTGATGGAACAAAAATTTCTGAGAGATCTTGGAGGCATTCGATGCAGAATTTCATTCTCTTTCTAGTGGTTATGAAAATTTTGCAAAACAATCAATGAGCTTTCAGAAAATAACCAAAATTTGCGACCCATGCTTTTTGAGATGGTCAAGTTTTACGATTTTTTAAAACTTTCATATCAATCCTCAGAAGGAGCTCAAGTAAAGGTTCGGTAGAGTAAACCTTACAGAATACAGCACTGTTTTTTCTCTTTCTCGTAGCTCGCCGTAATTTTTTAAAAGATTTTTTAACAGAACCATCGGATTTTGGCAAGCCCACCTCAGCCACGATCGCAGCAAACATCAGTAATTACTCGGAATTTCAAGCTTTCAAGATGATATATGACTTAATATTGATTTTATAAAGCAAATGAGAGTTTACGGATTCGAAATATCAAATTTCGAGTTTTTGGGGTAAAGCCTGGGGCTCGCTAAAAAAATGAGTTATGATGTTTTCTCCCTGGAAACTAAACGAATCGGAAACAAAAATACCCCTGTCAGAAAGAGGAGAGAATGCTGTATCGAATAGTGCGCGAGCTGCTCTTCTTTTGATGTTATACGAGGATTTAGCCGCCCAAGTATGGAAATCGGTAGCATCAGTTAAAATTCTGTTAAAAATGTAAGACAAGCTATGGAAAGGAGAAAAAAGTAGTTTTGCATTCTGTAGGGATTGCTCTATAAAGGCGTTACTTGAGCTTTTTCTGAGGATTGATATGAAAGTTTTAAAAAATCGTGAAACTTGACCATCTCAAAAAGCATAGGTCACAAATATTGGTTATTTTCTGAAAGCTCATTGACTGTTTTGCAACAGTTTTATAATTATTAGAAAGAGAATGAAATTCTGCATCGAATGATACCAAGATCTCTTAGAAAGCTTTGTTCCATCAAATGTGGTGCCCGTTTGAAAAAAGCGAAATTACTTTTGAAACAACCTAATAGTATTTTCATTTTACCGCTTTGTAAAAAATAATCAGAATCGGCATCTAATTTCAACCATTACCGAATTTGCTTGTTTCTACTTGTTTATACTCAATTCTTGAGTGTTGCAAATGGTAGAAAGCTTTTTTACTTGTTCCAATAGGGTTTTAATTCTTGTAACAATGTATAAGTCCATCTACACTTTCGACGATCAAGCGCCCTGCCTACTGGAATATTAGACTGATACGTCTAACTTCCTAAGGTGCTTGTGGGTTTCATGAAAATCGTCCAGATTCAGAAACCGTTCTAATTAGATCTCAAGTACACAAAGCGTTGTTTCTTGAGGGATAGGGTCCGCGTTTTGAAGCCTATGCTTTGAAAAATTTATCAGTACCCTAACTTTACGATACAAGACGCGGGTGTTTTTCTTCTAAAATCGACCAGCCCAAACGCGCCAAAGGATTTTGCGACTAGAAAATCGTATCATTGCTGCGCATTGCCTGAAAGTTTAGTGCGACCCAAGTTCCGTATTCCAAAACACAGCGAGGCGACTGAGTGGCTCGCTTGAAAAATCGAAAGGGTGCATCTTGTACTCGTGAAATTAGGGAAATAGCTTGGTAAGGCGCTTGTAAATTTACATGTAGTCAGACATTATTGACTTATGCTTCATGCCGTAGACATCCCTTTCGTACCTTCCTTCAGTCTAATGCCTTGATATAACAAATAAATTGTATCGATTGCTTCAAGGTAGATATGCGGGAGAAATTCATTGTGTAGTCTATCCTTTATTAAGTAAGACCCATTTTTCAGGTGATGACGCTCAAGCCTTGATCTGGGATTTACAAAACATGCCACGACCCGTTGAAGACCCGATATTAGCTTACTCAGCAGGAGGAGAGGTTCCGAGTTTTAATATTCACCAATACATTTTTCAAAAATTTTGCTTGTTCTCAAATCTCTAATGTGACCTATCTCAGTCGATGTCGAATCCAAAATCTTCAGTTTCTTAAATCTGATCGTCGTAATTTCACAATTTACGTCTGAATAGTAGTCAGATTAATCGACCTCCCTAACGACGCTAAGTAGTGGATGTGCCGCAAAAAAGCTTTCTGATGAAATCGTTTATAGATGTAGACTCGGATCCTCAAATATTAGGAGAACCGTCATGTCTGGAAACGCCATGGGCAGTGGCGCTTCTGTTCTGATTTTATGAATTTAGGTCAACCAAGTGCATTGGGGACCTGCCCACAACAACTGGATATGTATCTGTTTCAACAAATCACTTGAAATATTGCGAGTTTGAGTTTGTTTCCGTCTTTCAAGGGTAGCTTGTCTACCGTCTTTTGATCTCCACACTGTTTGTCAAATTATTTTTTTACTGCACTCATTTACGAATCTTGTATGGTTTGATTCGGAGCGTCGGTAAATGGACGTTGCAACCCGGTTGTCCGTTTTATCCCATGTAATCTCGTTCTCATTGTACGTATCTCAGTTTCGTTTGTTATTAGCATCTGTGTTACTGCCACTAAAGATCTTTGACTTCAGTTGTACGATTGGTATATGGGTCACGGACCACGATATTGTAATCGCGTTTTATGTGTTTTCATCTCATAATTTTCTTAAGAGCGCTGAGCTTTTGGATGACTCATAGACACTGATTGTGAATCTTTCAAATGCAAAGTGCTGGAGGAGTTCTGCGTTTCGTGGCACCGAAGGAGCTTCAGGTCTGCACACACCTAGCTTATCTCCTAATGATTTGATTGTACTTTGCAGATCTCGAATCCCTTAGGAATGGATCACTCGCATCAGGGCCAAGGCTATGCTATGCATCACAATAGTATGCATGTGATGCCACAAAGTATGTTGTGTAAATTCCTGGTACAAGCAGGCTTATTGTCATTTCATGCATATTAGCGTTCTTGTGAATTTTCCGCTAGTATAGTGTGCTTACGGTACCAATGTTTTGCGACCGAATTCGCTCGAGAATACAGTCTGCCCTATTCAGGATCAGGCCGAACCGTTGGCCGAATTGCTCGCTCGCAGCGCAAGGGGTTTGCGTGCATATGCGCGTTGTCGCAGAGGGCGAGGAGATTGAGGAGCGAGTAGACTAGCCAGCCGTAGACGTGACGCAGTGCTCTCGCGGCACGGAATCCCGCCATGCCAATTTTGGCCTGGTTGGGATTGGGACAGACTGTAGCTATGCTTGTAATGCCAGGCGCTTGCACACGCAAAATACTGACCTTACTGGCGTGGATTTGTTCACGCGCAGGTTCGCTCCCGCAATCTTGGCATCGCAAGCACACTATATTGAGCGCAAAATCTACAACAACATAGCTATGAAACGCTCGAAATGACATGGAAGGCTATCTCACAGAGCAGGCACTCTGTAGTCTATTCTTTTGAGCGTATTGGTTCTGTTGTTTTCCTACAATTCTTGTCAAGCAACGCTTCCAAATTTCTGTTCTTATAATTCTTGCAGGTTCTTCCGCTATGAACATGATGATGGGTGGATATATAGTTCCGCCTTCTCAACCACAACAGTCAACTTATTTGACGCCTCAACAACCCACCCCACAGCTGATGCAGACAGACGTTTACGATGTAGGAAGTTTAGGATCGGACTACAAGAATTTTTCTGAAGAAAATATTATTAAGCCGATGGATGCTGCTGGCCCTTCCAATCAGGATATCAGTATGTCTGCTGCACCACGAGAAGATGATAAACGCAAGGTGCGATTTTGATTTTGTTTGTTTCACAGTCGTCAGATTTATTCTCACTATAAAATCAGTAATGAGGCGATGACGAAGAAAAAGTGAAAGAGGAAACTAAGTCTGACTTCATTGTGAAATGATTAGTACCTCTGTATTAGATCCCAAGTGGGCGGCTCGGGTCCCGCTCGGCCGCCTCGGACCATTTTCCCACGTCTAATCAATGAACGATCGGAACTTGCCTCCGAGCCATTTGACATGCTCAGGCGTCGGAAAATGATCAAACTACACCTTCGCGCATGCAATGCAGGGCCAGGCGAGGCGGCCGAGCGGACTTGAGCCGCATGAGTCGGGCCCATTTTATATGAGACAGATGGTTTATAGATATGACGTCGAAAAGAAACGAGCATCAGCACAGAGTTTCTTCTTGGCACTTGCTGATTTTCACTAGTTTTCGCACATTTGACTCTTCTTCAAATCTTTTTTTTTTGCAAATTTTTTACAGTCAAATGATTCACATAACATTACTAACTTTACAGGAAATATATGGATATGATGCCCCATACAACTTATATTCAAGTGCTTGGAGCTGTGCAACCGATCCTCAGCGGAGGTTTCGACTGGCAGTTAGCAGCTTTATCGAGGAGTATAGTAATAAGGTGTGTCTATCTGCTTTGCGTACCCTCTGCGTAGTTTACAGTGATTTTTAGGTATCAATTGTTCAACTTGATGAAACTGCTGGCGAACTTGTTCTGCGGAATACTTTCGATCATCCTTATCCTGCTACAAAGCTTATGTGGATTCCCGATTCGAAAGGGACATATCCGGATTTGATAGCTACTAGTGGTGATTATTTGCGGCTTTGGAGGGTAAGCGCTCCCTTTTTGCACTTTGCAAGTTTAGATAATTTCGCCTTGCATAGTTTTCTATACTATGCGTATTTAGCTGGGAGCTGACAACAACGCGAAGATAGAGACGCTCTTGAATACAAATAGAACGGCGGAGTATTGTGCGCCTTTGACATCGTTTGACTGGAATGAGTTAGACCTCAATCTTATAGGAACAAGTAGTATTGACACTACTTGTACAGTTTGGCAGCTTGAGGTTTTTTTGGTTACTCACAATTGCCAGTTAATCACTCACTTTTGCATTTGTAGACCGGTCAGGCGATAGGGTCCACTCGGGCTACGGTAGATGGCACTGTTCGCACCCAACTCATAGCCCATGATAAGGAAGTATTCGATATCTCATTTAGTAGGGCAAGCCGGGATATGTTTGCAAGTGTTGGTGAGTGGATCTTTTGCTATTCTTCTTGTATTCGAAATGCTATTCTTCTTGTATTCGAAAGTGCGTGCATTCGCTAGGTCAAAAGCCCACCTTTTTGCGGTATACATGGCATTCGATCAAATGCCTTCCTTGTCCAACAAATCTGAGTAGACTACATCCTCTCTCTCGTCACTGATCTTCAGCATGTTTGTTCTATGAAAGTGTTTGCATACCACTGTGCATTTCGGGAGACGGTCAAGAGGCGTGATTTCTCCGGTCATCAACTCAAAACTCCAATTTAGTGCTATGCGAGTCTTCAAAAAGTAACAGATAAAGTGCATTAGTTTACCATCTCTCTGAAGTAACCGCATGCTGAGTTTCATGGTTTTTGCTTTAAAACGAACTAAAATATTTACGAATTTGTTCTTAGATGCATTTTCATGGATTTTTGACCTTCAAAGTTGCTGTTTTGAATTTTTTTTCAAAGTATTGAGATTGAACAACCCATGCAAGTCTCTAATATACCTTTTTCTAAATTTCATATACTCTTAGAAAGCTGTAAAACACTTATAATGTGCTATTTGGTGTCCAGCTGGCAATAAAAATCGCGCCTCTTGACATACACCCCAAAATTTCCAGTCTTGGTGATTACACGCATGCATTAGAGTAAGTACAACAGCTGGCCGAATCAGTTAGACATCTTCACTTGAGAAAAATCCGTAAGTTCTGTAAAGGAGACCAACCCACACGTACTTGACCATATTCGAACATTTTTCAACGTTGACAGTCACAGGGCTGTGGGTTTGGTCTGACAGCTTACTCTCGAAAGCAAGTTGTGCAAACACTGCGGCTAAATTATTGATGCGTGATTTCAGCTGCTGATTACATTGTTGTTTTCTTGATTTGCCTGTAGTGGTGCTCGTGCTCATACGAAAAAAATTTGGTAATGCTTTTAGTCAATCACAGTGTTTTGACAGAATTATGAAATGGTCTTGCCAGTGTATTTTGGCTTCAACTAATTGAAATGGTGTTTGTTTCCCAGATTTTCTCTCAAAAATCATCCTGAATCAATTATGAGTACTTTTGCATATTAGGGTCCAAGCATAATCATTTAGGTGCTGATGGTAGTGTCCGTCTCTTCGATCTTCGACATTTGGAGCATTCGACAATCATCTATGAAGATCCTCAAAGAATACCGCTGTTGAGATTGGCTTGGAATCGCAACGACAACAACTACATTGCCACATTTGCTTGTGAAAGTAACGAGGTATGCATTCGTCCTTTTATAGGACAGATACAAGTCTGATTATACCTCGCAGCTTGCTCTTTCCTACATCCAAGGGCCTCATACTGATAAAAACAAACTCTTGGGGATAAGCGGCCAGTTTTGATGGTTAATCACCTTCGTTCTTTAAGGTTATCATCCTCGACATGCGAATTCCGTGTCATCCAGTTGCACGACTGGCAAATCACCGTGCTCCAGTGAACGGCATCTCTTGGGCACCTCATTCCAGTACTCATATCTGTACAGCAGGTTTGTAAGGATGTTTCATGTGCATTTACTTCAAAGCGCTGATTCAGCTGATGACGCTCAAGCTTTGATATGGGACGTGCATGAGATACCACGACCGATTCTTGACCCTATTTTAGCCTATCAAGCTGCGGGAGAGGTTTGTCTCTATTGAAATACGTCTCTACCGGCAACTAAAATGAAATAGCATGCAATATGGTATATTTTCTCTAATGCTTTGTTCGCTTAAATTTTGTCTTGGTAACAATAGCAGATGCAGGTAAAAGCACTATTCCAAAAAAAAAGCTGATAATTTAGCAGTACAAACATGATGTGGCGATTTAAGGTGAGGCGTATAATGCTGAGGGGCTGAATGTGATCTCAAAACTGTATTTGTTATCTGCGCAACGCTTTTCCCAAAAGTCACACGTTGATAAACGAACACTGACAGACCAGGCGCAGTGCATGCTCTTTTGTTGCAAAAAGGGTGCCGGCTTTTGTGGCCAGCTTTGCGTTTTTTTTTGACTCCACAGATTTTTGTAAAGGGGCGTTCTGGAGAAACAAGTTCAAGATCTGAGATTAACGCGTGATACTGTTGAGCGATGTACGTGTGGCACGACGAATATCAATTGCTTGCTCTGATCGAAATTTTCTAAGATTTTTTTTCTGTAATCAAGACCTTTCTCAATAAATCGCGATAACCAAGATCAAAGATAACTGAAGTCTCCATCGAGATTTTGATAACTGATTTGAGATCGTTGTAATTTTGATTTCAGTTATCCACGATTGAAGTCGGTGGCGTGGAATTCTTTTGTTTAGGTAAATCAGATTCACTGGTCAACAACATTCCCTGACTGGATTTCCATCTGCTACGCAAACCGGTTGGAGATATTACGAGTGTGATTCCCTTTGTTGCTGAAGAAAATCAAAAGGATTGTTTGTGTCATTCAGTGGTAATTACATGCATCAGAGTTCTATCGTCATAGCCTTTGTTCAAAGTGCACTTTTTTGTTGCTCATCGAGAAATTCTTAGGTCAGCTTGAGACTAATTTTCCCTAATCGGCTGTTTAGCTAAGCGTCTTGTAAATCTTTGTCTCAACTCCATTGCTTATCAATCCATGGTCTCAGATTTGAAAATGTTTTATAATTTATTCAAAGTCTTATGTATCGCAATGGATTCTTATTAGTTCGATTTGAAGCTGCTTGTCTGAGTCAATTTTGTTGATAATGATCAAGAACATTTTGAGAACATTTATAACTTCTAATCTTGTATATAGAGAATTTTGTTTTTTGAAATTCGAACATATGATCGAGGAATGTTTGTGGTGCTTTGAACTATGTAGGATAAATTTTGTCTGAATCTTTGATTACATAAGAATGGTATAATTCGGAAGAAGACGATTCTTAACATTTATCACGTACAATTATAAACACGAATGTCGTTGTGGTGTATATCATTCCTTCTTCAGGGACGTGCTGAAAACAGATATTGACTTTTCGTTTTGAAAAAAAAGAACAGGATTCCAGAAATTCTGACTCATAAAATTGACAAAATAGTCGGAAGTTGACGCTTAGTCTTTATTTACTGGCATATCTGCGGATCAATAGCTAAATCAGCCTGCACCGTAATGGCACACAAGTTAAGTGTTAAAATCTTTTGATTTCATTTTAAACTATTCAGCTACAATAAGATATTTTGATTAGAGACTCACACTAAGCAAACTACAAGGTAACTTGCTGCTATCCCGTTAGCAGCTCGCCTGCGATGTATGTGCTGATGTTTTAGTCAAAAAATTTGGGTCGATATTGGAATGCGGATTGAACAGCTAGTTTTACAGCTCTAACATCCAGAAGCAGCATTTAGTACTCATAGAAAGAGCGTAAAAGAATGACCCATTTGCTGAAGTGAGGTCGAAAAAATGAGAACTAAACTTTTCACACACTAAGTGGGTTTGTTTGAGGGCAATGTCAGCTGTTCAACACCTGTACTGATTACCATACAATTATTAGTAACTTCTGTCTTAAGGCGAGAGAAATTAATTCCAGACGCTGGAAAAAATTCGAGAAACTCTAGCATAGTAGCCAGGACTCATTATTGTTTATGTGGGCTCAAATAAGGGGAAAGGGATAGTAAATTTACTAAAATCGCTACACCCACTAATATATTTCCATATTTTTCTGACCCCTCAAAACAAAAAACGTCTGCAGTGTAAATTAACAGAAGTTTACGAGTTTACGAGAAAAAAAATTATCCAAACTTGCAGGTTAAGCCAGTGATCCTTATGAGAATTTAAGTTGGATCTTATTCTATGTAGTTATGAATCAAAACAAGGCCGGCAGTGAAAAACAGAATCAGGTACATTCGCTTCAGTCAGATAGATAGGAAGCCACTTACTGGTCACTTCGTCCGGATCCGCTAAGTACGAGATAGGGTGTTTGTAATAGCTCTTGTTTCTTCAGCTGTTTAGATAAAGTGCCAAGAGGAGTGTCCGAACTGTTCATCTAAACAAGAAGTATTGAGAAAGAGATGGGCAGTGATGGATTACACACCTGTTTCAGCAACTCCTTCTTATCTCTTCTAGATATTCTCTTCTCGGTCTGCTTCTTGCCAGGATTACGGCCGTGGAACCTCAAGTATTTATCAATCTATGCTGATTGGCAATCAAGGTGGATTGACATACTTGTAAGAAAGCTCTCGGTAGGCATCTTTTTGATCCATTACTCGTCCCTTATCATCTACGTAGTGAATATTCACCTAAATTTTACACTTCACCATTATACTATTTTCTAACACCACAAACCTCTGGGTGATAGTCTTTCTTTTCGACAAATGGCATGATTGGACCTCGCCCGGTCGTTCCAAGGCGATCGAGTTTCTTAGCATATTTGTCCTCAATATCACTGAAATGAAAAACGGATTGCGCAATTACAGTATGCCTCCCAACGTCATGAAATAGCAATACATAAAAGTCACCGATGTTAGGGTAATCACTTACTATTTGCTTTGTTCTATTTGCGTTTTCGACTGGTTTCGAAGATGATCCAGACTTTGCGTAGCTTTCTTTTTGACTTCGGTATCATTCAGGTAACCCTTCAAACAGACATTATCAAACTCAATCCAATAAAAGTTGGAACTGAACGACCTTACCTTCTGAGCGGCCAACTTCAACATTGCGCCAACACCTTTCGAAACATCAGCTTCCTTACCGAGAACATTCTCATACTCTTTTTTGTCGCCATCTTCATCCGAGTCAGTGTCAGAATATTCTGCCTGAAAATAATATTGGCCTTTAATAAAAAGCTGAATTGAGAGCACCATGCGTATAAAAAGAATCTGCGCAAGGGACAGGTCTGTACTGCGAAAAAAAACCTACCACTTCCTGTTTGACTCGCTGCAGTTCTTTTTCATCATCACTGTCTAATGCAGCACTGCTACTAGGTTTGTCTGACCATTTACGAACCGACTCCCTGTTCTTCGCTCTTTGTCTTCGCCGCGACTCCTTCTCTGTTTGTGCCTGCTTCCATCGCCTACAAGATGGCTTTTAAATCTATATTTTTGTGCGACTGTGCAACAACAATTGCCGCGCTTTTTTTTCAAAAAGAACATTCATCTTGAGACACATAAATTAGAAATTGTCCACAAGTTGAAGTTTTAGAATTCTGAGAATTGAGAAAGTATGACGAAAATGAAACATACTTCACAGCAGAAACTCCATCTTCAACTTCTTCCTTCATCTCCGAAACATCTATAGCATCATTGCGGTTGCCAGCCAAACCATAGGTAGGAATATCACCTAGAAATGATGAGTTGGAAATACACATTTGATGGCATCTAACAACCTATGTTTCTGCAGTACTCCATAGTCGCATCCAGCGTCACAGCACCATCTCGTTCGACAGGGCTCTCGTGTGTTCCATTCTCCTCGTCCACTTCCATCTTGATATCTTGAGTGGCTATCATTTCATGAACCTTAAAACTTTCGTTATAATGGCGAGTTTCATATAGTAAAGATCCAATGGGTCTTGCAATGCAACCTTTTAATTGCCTTTAGCGAGGTTACTCAGAAGACAGAGTTGATTGCGGGAAATACGCCCAAAAGCAGTGCAGCATGTGCGTGGCGGGATTATTCACCATGGAAAAACTCCTGGACAAGCACTGCACGCATCTGAGAATCATGGAACCCATAAAAACATAGCATGGCTGCCCCTTTTCCTCCTCAATTACCGTCGGCACATTGAAGACTATTATCGTGATTTTCAGATTTTCAAAGAAGAAGAATTTCAGAGAAGCATATTTTCGAACTGTCGGTTGATACAAAACAGATTCATTATTCGTAAATCGGGTTGCAAATATTTTTGAGATTATATACCGCACTGCAAGAAGTGAAAAAATGTAGTTGTGGTAAAGTAAAATGACTGTGTGCTTTACAATAAAAAAAGCCATTTTTTGGGCTTTCAAAGGGTAGGACAGATCCTCTGCACCCTAGACTGCGTTCAAAAGTACTTGTGCACTGCGCCAAAACCTCAAAATACTCGGCCAACCGAAGCGGCAACGTGCATACACATGGCCACCGTGTGCAAAATTCAGGTTATTTCGCATTCTCCTGTACCAGCAGACACAATCAGGTCCTGACTACAATTCGCTCGATGGAGCACACCAGTAAGCTTTAGATTTGGAATATTGCATGGACAAAACAAAAAATTGACTAGATCTCTAAGAATGAGGTAGGCAAGATGTTCAGAACAAAAGCAAGTAGATTCGTCGGAATTGATTCGACTGAGAAATGAATTAATATTAGCAGTATTTATGTAGTGATGACCATACCGAAAAGATCTCCAGTTTCAGTAGCGTACACGGTATGTCACAAAAAACACGTTTCAAAATTACCTTTTGTGCAACATCGACGTCATCCTTTTTCACGTCTACTTGTCTCAGGCGCCGTGCTTTCTCAAGAACGATTTGTAGTTCCGCTTCCGCATCGTCTTCAATGACCACTCCAGCGAGCTCCGAAGTTCCATCAAACTCTTCTGTAAAGAATATATTATAGTCTACAACATTTCTTGTTATGCCTGAGTATCACGAAAAGGCTTCAAATCTCTAAGAGAAAGTATAGGTCTTACAAAACTAAATGGTTAAGAAGTATTTAGAAGTCTACAAAGTGTGGCATAACTGCGATCAGTAATTAAGAAGAATCAATAAAAACTGGGACAATCTGAGATGTACGTTGAAAAAGGAAAAGAAGGATTAAATGTGACAGTCTGAGAAGTAGAAGGAAAAAGGAATACCTTCACTCGATTCACTTTCGCTATGGTCGTCATTCGCAATACTTTTGAGCATGTCGAGATCGACTGCATTCTTCGTAGCCTTTTTCCAGGGTCCTGATGGCGCTCCCGTATTGTCAGTACTGTCACCATTTGCGTTCTTCTGGAAGTACTCATCTATTTCCTTCAACAAGTACCGGTACAAACATCATTCTGCGAGCTGTCCTGCTCTGGCGCTGTTGCATCTTCTACGGCCTCTGATGTCTCTTCCTTCACTTCCCGCCTTCTACCATGATTCCTACATTGCAAATATGAGTCACTTCCTAGACACTTATGAATATGTATGTACCTGGATCCCAGATCGCGTCCCTCGGCTGGCTCATCGGGTATCAAATCCTCTGCTCTCAAAATCTTTCTCTTACGTGTCGATTTCTTTCCCTTTTTAACCTTGCGGAATGCCGTCATTTCTTCCTAAACTTTGCCCTATTTTTGTACAAGTAGAAGAAGAGATGGTTGCGATGGTAATCCTCAAAAGCATTCACAAGCTACAGAAAAGAACAGAATCCGCGATAAATAAGCTATGAGTCCTAGCAACAGCAAATCAAATATAACCTAGAGTTTTTGAAGAGTCATATAAAGTTAAGACTTCAGCCTTACAGCAATATCAAGTGTTTTTTTTTTGTGGAAGCAAGATGATATCAGATCACAGCAACTTTTTACAGATGATGGCAGATTATTAATGCAGATAACTAGACTAAGTCTGACATTGAATGACACAGAGATTAGCGACATGAAACAACATTTTTTGGAAAAAGTGTCGATTATGTACGAAAAAAATTTACCTTTGTATAAAATTCGCTACCAACTTGGAACTTGTCCATATCCAAACTGACCAACGTTTTGCCAGCTATTTCTAATTCCTTTCGCATCCGATTATCTCTGAATATGATACCATTACAGGTAACAGCGATCAAACAAAAGAAAACTACCTTTCATCCTTTTCCAAATCGTAGCCTCCACGTTCATCAAGGCGGAACTTCTCTTTTTTAATACCTTCAAGCTCCTCATCATATTTGGGTAGAACACCATAAGACTTGGGCTGAACAGATTGTTTCAACATTGTTTTGTATTAGACAGACTTACATTTCCAAACTCGTCCACATCATCAAAGCCTTTCATTAGCTCCTTTCGCTTTTTGAGCTCGACATTTCGAGCGTACCTTTCGTTATCTTTGAGATTAGGATCAACAAGTACTTCTTCTCCTTCATCGAGAACTCCTACACAAATGATATACGCGATGAGTGTTGAAGACTTCAGGAAATAGAATCAGAATCAAATACAGCCTCACGAGGAAAGAACGATTACCTTTATCCTCGAGGACGAGTATATGATCGGAAAAACCTGCAAACGCTTCCTTTGAATGGCCAACAACTAGACCACCCGTTCCACTACTTTTGACAGTTCGCTGAAACGCAAAAGTTACTCTAATAGAAAGCAAGGTGCAAGAATGTCACATGTGCGATGACTGCCCACCTTCTTGACTTGTTTCGCTTTTTCATCCGCTATGATGGTGTTTACTCCAAATTCCTCATCCATCTCATCAAGCATTTTAGCCTGGGAAGAGGTAATGAAGGAGACCTGAGATAACAACAAAGGCTTACCCTTTCTTCAGCTCGTTTCCTCTCTTCCTCTTGCTTCTTCAATTTTTCTACCCAATCTGCAGCATCTTCCTCAGAATCCGATTCCGCCAAACCTTTCGCAGTCAACACTCTCTCATAAACATGACGTTTCTTCTTTGCTATCTGGATTTAAAAAAACCTAATCTTCGCTTCAGCAAAAACTATAAGAATGATCAACAGAGAACTGCATGGATATCAATGGTAAATCAGATAACATCAAAACAACAGCGCTGAAAGAAAAGTGCTCATCATAGCGAGAGTATAAACAGCACTTCAAAAACAATACAAGTGCGAATCAAGCGACAGCAAATTGAGGACCGTTTGAAAAGATGACTCAATTTACCTCTAACTTCTCTTTGATTTCCTCATCCTTCTTCTTCTCAGCCCAGTTTTCAGGCCTCTTATGTCTAAACTCGATTCCATCCTCGACATGTATAGTGGTTCCATCTTCAGCTTCCTTACTCTATAAGGAATGACGCATGTATACTCTCCAGTTCTTCAACATACTTTGAAAAAATATCAAACAGTTTACCTTAGGTCCATCGTCAACCTCTAAAGGCGCCAGACCCAGCTTAGCGCGAAGTTTGTTTGTTTCCTCGATAGACAGTGACTCAGCGCTAAACATATGAATAAGAGCTTTGATTTGAAGTAACACGATGTCCCATTCGTAATCAGCACAATTGCCCTTTTCCTACACAATTATACAAATTCAAACGACCAAAAATATGATTTCAGGATTAAGTTAAATTTTTCTTAAGACTCAATCGATATTCCATAACCATCTACAAACTGATTTAAAGGACGGTGGATATGCTCCCCCCAAGTATAGTCGACCGTCCGCCATATTCCTGGCTTCAATGATGTTAACACGAGCCAGTCCTTCAAGCCCCACAAACATGAACATCTAATCAGATTCAAAAAAGCATTAAATTTGAGTGTTTTTGAAACTGCTATACAAACACGCGACACGAACAAATCTGAAAAGATGGTCCCCCCCCCCTTCTTCAAAAAGACAACAAAAAAAACACTTGTACTAGCTTAAACAGCTATTAGAATACCAGGCTGAGTATAAAAGAGCCGTATGTCTATTTAGTTTGATAAGAGAGCGAAAGGCAAAAAAAAAAATTATAAATAAATGAAATAACGACCTGCGCGTTCGTTGCTGTTCGGTCGTCATCGAACTAAAATTGGAATGATATTACAGTGATACAACATGTGGGAGGGATATGGGCGGTAAATCCGCAAAAGGATGAACTCTCCATTCAAGAAGGCAGAGTTAATAACAAAAAAAACCACTTTTTGTTCACTCAAAATCATCTGGCCAAACAAACTACTTCTTTACAAAAGCTAAGATATCGTCAATATTGATATTTTAAACTGGCGAAAAATTAAGTGAAGGTCGGGAATCATTAGAAACAACATGCAAAAAACCTACTATTCCTCCTTCGCCGCTGGAGATGCGTCTCGTTCCTTCTCTCTCCGCTTCGATCTGAAGTAAAATATGCAAACTGCGTGACACCGTGTCTACTGTTCTTAGACCACAGATTGCAAAGCGTGCAATTACCATAGAAACAATGATTTTCTGCAGATAATTCCCTTCAACTTCAAACTGAGTTCTTTATTCGTGAATAACCTCTAAGGCCTTGGGCAGAGTTCGCGCCATTTCATCTCCTCGCAATTCTCCCAACAACAACAGTTATGAGTCAAGAGCATGCCAACCATCTTGCATTTCTGATGTGATAGTTTTCAGACACGACTACTGAATAACTATCGTAGCCGAAACGCAAGATGATCGGATGCAATGGGCTCTAACTGTTGTCTTGTTTGGAGAACCGCGAGCCGATAAAATCGCGTCAACTCTGCCCGAGGCCTAAGACAAACGCTGTTTTAAAGACATCGGCTAATATGGTTTGCGGATACTCTTCTTCAAACTTTCGTGGTCCATGAAAACTTTGTTACTGACACTGACTTGAGACAATTCTAAGCTTTCAAAGACAGCCGGAAATGGCACTTCACAAGTTCTAGTACCTTCGTATTTTCCAGCAGACTACGTGTAAACTTGTTTTGATTGGAAAAACAACAGGCATGCATACTTGAGTTTTACAAACCACATAAGGATAAAGGGCCCGGCATAGTTCACGCGATTTCAGTCGCGACGCGATTTGGCAACATTCCAGCTATCCATAACTTACTGTAAGCACATTTTAAATGTACAGAAGATAGGGCATTTTATCAAGGCATGTAGGTTATACACACTATCATGTGCAGCTTGCTAGCGTTGAATCTGAGTACTTCTGGCGAATTGCCATATCGCGTCGCGACTGAAATCGCGTGAAGTATGCCCGGCCCTTATGGCAAAATGAGCCAGAACTGGCCAGTTAGTCGAAATGAAAACACGTCTTATTCATTCGAAGCTCAAGTTACAAATGGACTCACCGCTTGCCTTTCGGTGAAGGTGATCTAGACCTTGAACGCGAAGAAGAATGCCTTCTCTCCCTATGTCTATGTCCATCGTCTGAATCGTTGCCATCACGTCTTCTTTTCGACGATCTTTCTTTTCCCATGTTTTATTCTAAACAAGCATTACCGCTAAAGCCATTATCAACTGCGCAGAAGTGAAATAAACTATTTCGAAAAACAATGGCGAGTTCTTGAGTGACATAAACCACTGGTAAAAATGAAATCAAACTTCCTCCCCGTTATGAGTGCACACAGAAAGACAGTATCTACATGAACGAAAAAAAAAGGAAAAATGACGGCCATATCGCGACCCGATTTTCGCAGAATGCCCACGATGCATTGCAGACATTCTCAACGACCGTACGATAATACGTCAAGTAACCTGCAGTCCCTCATCGGCCGTCGTTGCTATTCATTTCATTCTCTCATCCTGATGCTTAAATGTCTTAAATGACAAGTCTTTCTAAGAAGTAGGAGTGGACATAATCAAAAAGTTTTTCATTCAATCGCGCTGGTTAATATCGGGTGAAGGATTGTCTTTTCGATCGGTTAAAAATTCTTTCTAAGCAACGCGATAAATACCTGTCATACAGAAAATGAATGTCCATTCTTTCTCAACTGAAATCACCTGATTTTCATGTTAGACCTCAAATATCGGCGGAGACTGCGTAACCATTATCATATACAGCAGTGCAGCGCACTTCTAATCGCTGTCAGTAAAGCGATTTGGATTTGTTTCTTACGAATCTGAGAATCCAATGCTGAGCCTCAAATTATGCTTCAGTTTTCAGAATTGTATAACTCTCAGCTATTTCGAAGCTTTCTGCACAACATGGCTAGCTGCTTTAACACGTTGACGACCGAGCCATTTTTGACCACCTCAAAATGGACTGATGGTCTACGGCTGCGGTTTGGACTGTTTAACAGCTACCACAATGCCGTGTGTTCTATATGACAATCAGGCCACCAGTGTTATTACTGCATAGAAGTTACCTGAGAAATTTTCGTTTACACATGATAAATTGATGCACGAAAGTGCTACGGTGGTCAGAGCGTGCATACGCGCGGATACACACGGTCGTCAACGTGTTAATTAACACGTTGACGACCGTGTGCATCCGCGCGTATGCACGCCCAGACCACCTTTTAGCACTTTCGTGCATCAATTTATCACGTGTAAACGAAAAGTTCTTAGGTAACTTCTATGCAGTGATAACACTTGTGGCCTGGTTGTCATATGGAACACACGGCATTGCGGTAGCTGTTGAACAATCCAAACCGCAGCCGTAGATCATCAGTCGATCTTGATGTGGTCAAAAATGGCTTGGTCGTCAACGTGTTAATCAGTCCCCGCTCACGTGGATGGGATACCTGCGTCCATTTAGCACTACACTATTTTAATCCACTTGATCCTCTTGATCCACTTCGCTGTTGGTCAAAACAGTGTACTGGCCACTAGCGAAATGGATGGGGTGGATCAAGTATGGCGCGCGCTTCTGCAGTGATGTGATTGGAGTCCAAAAGTGCAAATAAGAACATTTGTTTGGGAGTTGCACACTACCGTTTTCTCGGACTTTGTATTCTAGAGGCAAGACTGCGAAAGTATATGGAGATCTATATACTAAAAGATTGCACTGTTCTCTACCTCGTCATCCATTCTCACAGAATCCATCCTTGAATGCACGAAAAGTTGCTAGTATGTCGATGTTTGTGCTCAAAGACGGCTGTAGCAGTCTTTATTCGAATCTGATGTTCTGCAGCTTATTTTAGGTAGGCGATGAAACCACCGCCGACAAAGAAAGCAAGGCCTGCTGTGCATACAGCCGACAGTGTCCGGCAAATCGTTGCTCAGGCGATGCTTAGTAAGCATTTCCATTCTATTTGTGGTCTGGTCACCTTCACATCTCATCTAGGCGATGACGCTGCATGTGCAACATTGCTCGAGAGTGTCGTAGGCTTCGAGAAGGAAATTCTTGATGGACTCATCGTGGTCCTGAAGACCTTCAGCGTATGTTTTCTCACTATTCAAACAACTTTAGCAGCAATATTGGTTTTCCACACTCTTTCCATCTAGGCATCAAAGGTCACTTTAAATGACCCCATCACCAAGGTTCTACGAAAGTATTTTGCTTTGATTGGTGTTGAGACTGCTACGGAGCGTTACAAGCAGTTTCATGATTGCATTTTGAACAACCTCGGCACTGAATATGTCAGGTACTTTCTTTTGTTGTTAATTTTTTTCGACAGCCGTGGTCAGTTCACCAACCTAGAAGGTGTGCAGAGGCGACGTAGGCGACATTATGGGTCGCTAGAACGGGCAGTTCTGCAATGGCTGTGTCTTATCTATATCTATGTTATGACATAGTTGGATAAGTGAGTTAGTTGTATATTTTCAGTAATTTTGTCTCCATGATTTGCTGTCTCTTACGCTTCTGCAACATCTTGAGATACGATAAACTACGTCAAGAAGTTGTCTCGAGTTTTCCCACGGTTATAAGGATGCTTTGGAAAAACAATTCGCGAGGTAGTGACTTATCTAGTAAGCTTTTGCTATGCTTTTGTTTGCAGGCGAAGCTTGCAGTAGCGCTAGGTTATTTGTCGAATTGTTGCTGTGTATGGAATGCTATCACGGGCAAGAGTACTGTTCAGATATATGGTTTGAACGAGTTCTTACAAAGGTGCGACTCATAATTAAAAGTTTAATTATAAGTTTAAGCCTAGATTAGCGTATCGTTTTTATCCTTTTATTCGTCTCAGCAAATCATGGCCATTTCGTGCACCTTACGCTAATTTTTATGAGGCAATGGCCAGATTTCGCTCGAAAGCGCTCTGAAGCGTCCAAATTTTTCAACCTCTCTTCACTTCCTCTCTTCTCTCTCCACACGAGAAAGTGAAGAGAGATTAGAGAAGGCGCTTTTGAGCGAAGTGTGACCCGGACCTAACACAAACTGTCTCAAGTGCGGCTACGCTGATGATCTTGCCTTTGTGCCGATATGCACATACTTTCAGACTGAAGTTCTTGATCACCTCTTAATCTTTGTGCAGTGGCTCATTAGGAACAGGATAACTGTAGCCGTAGTCTTTAATTGTTCGTATTAAAATTCAATGTGCGTCTGTTCTAGCTGCAAGTCTTGCAGAACTTGTTATCCTTAGGAGATGGAGCGTTTTCCATTCTTTGCTGCTGTATCCGCCATTATGAGTTCTCGAGAAAGGAACGAAGAGATAGTCTCTCTTTCATCTCTTCAGGAGCTAAATGATGGCCACGAACATGTGTCTCTCCGCTTACAGGTGTGTCCTCTTTATTGTCGGGTGCGGAAGTATGAGTAGGTCATCTTTTCGTAGAAGCGTGAATCAAATATTCATATAATCTCACACTAGTAAGGATTGTTATGTTTAGATGAATGATCTCCTTCTTTCACATCTCTCCTCTTTCTGTTCCCGATGTTCAGTGGAACAAATGCGGACTTTTGTGGAATTCTTGCTGCGACATAGCCTTGCAGAAAACAGTGTCTGTTCACGTCGTTTTTAGTGTTCCCTACTTTATCTTGAGATTTGAATCCGCTCTTTCTATTTTTGCAATAGTTTTGTTTTGCAGCTTGCAAAAGTCATGGAAAAGTTGAGGGACTCATCAAAAGCAATAACAAATAATGTTATGGATCTTTTGATAGCCGACACTATTATAAACCTATCTGTTGAGCAGATATCAGCTATGGTATGTCTTACGCAAACGCGCAACAATGTCATGCGGTTGTTCAGAACAAAGAATTCGATCCATCTATCTTTTCTTCTCTTGATACCAGCTGCAATATACACACTTTGGAGCAGCAACAGACAAGGTACGTATGTAGTCGAAATGATCTTGTAAATTCTGGATTTTGCTTGAAGTTTTTCCAGTCATTCTGATGAAATTTCGAAAAAATTTGGCGCTTGTCTCTCTAGAATCTTGAAAATGAAACCGCCTTCGAGGAAGGTAAGTTTGGAGTTCCAATTCTTGCCTAACGAGTGAATATGCTTAGGAAGTTACCGAAATCCTGGATTCTTTGGTGTCAGCATATTGCAGTCTTCCATTACACCTCGCTCCTCCACACTTCATGCCCAAGTACCTCGTAAGTTCCTCTGTGGAGAACTACCTTTGCAGTTTTATATGCTGAACTTGTGATAATTTCGTCCTTTATTCTATTTTTTCGTTTAGATTTTCTCAATATTATTTTCGAATATATTTCAATCTATTGGCAACAAAATATTCGCATCTTGCCTTGGCGTCATCGAAAAACTGACAAGGTAAGATGATGAGTGTTGGTATCTCCAGATATATGACCGTTGTTTGTGACGGTTTTGCACATCTTGTTTGGTTTCACCTGAGTTCCGTTCTTAGAGGCATCCGAATCTTACCACTGAAGACCGCTCTGTTACGCAAACTGTGCGACAGCTGGCTAGTTTTCGTCGAGGTAGCACGTAAGAGGCAAACTACTTTCTTTATTTTTATTTTGTTCAGGAATCGTCTGTTTCTGGATTTTGTAGAGATATTGCAAACGCTCTGAGTGGAATTTTCGCACTCAGTAGATCTGATACAGGTAAAATATCTGTTGAGAAGATAGCGTGAAATCCAGTCACATCCATATTTAGCGTCAAAATTATGCCCAGCGTTAGATATTTTGGAAAATTTCAATCAAGAGACCTGTTCTAGGAGTAAAACTGTCAGGTAATTTTGTTTCTTCTTTATGCTATTGAGGACTCATAATGAGGACTCATAAGAGCTTAGTGTTAACATTAAGTACTAGGCTGTTGCATAAGTTCTGTCCGATTTGAATTTTTGAGTTTAAAATGTCATAACTTCTTTCAGAGTCAACTTTTTTCCAAGGTCTTAGTTTCTATGTGTTGAGCAGTCCCTTGGCTAAAAAATGCATATTGAGATCTGCGCAAATCTTTGTTAAGGAAGAACCAAGAATGCAAAAACTTCGCAGCGTTTTTCTTCGAAGCTGTCTTTTTTGACATGGTAACGCTCCCTTATGAAAATTGATAGGCATCTTTTCTAATAATGGATGGATAGAGAAATTTTCGTAGATTATTATGCAACATAAAAGAGCCCATAGGGTTTGCGCTGCCGAGAGATTTTCTTGACCGAACAAAAAATTAGCCACTTTTTGACCTCGCTTCAGCACATGTGTGCATGCCTATTTATGAACTACGAACGTTTTACAACTGACGTGAGCGCCGAAAAGGAATTGGTGGATGGGCCCTGTTAGCTCTTGCTTTGCCCTAGCACCTCCAACTTTGAGCTTGTCGATTACTTCTATTCGCAGAAAGTTATTGCTTGTAAAACATCTATACCAAAGATTTATGTTCGAGGATAAATTTCACTAGCAAGACGTATTCTTCATGGGACCGAACTTCTGCATATACTAGCATTCCATACCCTTATTCCGAAGCCAATGAAAGAACCTGAATTGAAGGGCGCATTGTGGAGATATCCTCGCAAGGACATATTTCTAGGGATAGAACGTACCTCGGCCACTTAGAGATTTTAGGCCTGTGATCTCCGTACACTAAGAATTTTATTGAATTCTGGTATGCTTTAGAAAGCGCAAGGAAAGCACTTTTCAATGATACCAACCGTATCGAATTAGAGATGAAATTCTCTTAGAACAGCTGCTTCAAACATGAGGCAAAAGAATCGGACAGAACTTATGCAACAGCCTAGTATATGCTCATGAATTTTATTTTGAAAGTTGGTTTACTTGTGATTGACACACTGCATTACCATCGTATGTTCTTCAAAAAAGATATTCTGCAGTCAACATGATAGTCAGAGAAGATATATGCTTCTATTTTGGGAAAGAGGGAAAGCGAGAGGTTGATGAAAAGGAGAAGCTTTTACGTGAAATCTGCACCAGTTCGAGGAGTTCTGGTTATACTAGTAATCAGTGGCGGACAGAGAGGGACGGGGGGGGGGGGGAGCGAAATTTTTGATTACTTGTATGGGTATAGAAATGTGCAAATGACTCGTTTATTCTTGTAGGCAATTAAAGTAATCTTTAAAATTTTCCAAAAATTCAAATTAGGCTGGTAAAATTTTTTTCGGGGGCAATTTCCACCAATGCCCGTTTGTTTAGGTTTTGAGAAGCATCCTAAAAAATTTTCAGAGTGCAAATGTTTACGCTTCGAAAACATCAGTGAGGTGCATGTTTTGCATTCATCAGTGTTGTTTCAGTCTATACATTTTATTCGCGTCCACTGATTGGGAGAAACTGGCAGAAGATAAGAAGGAAAACGCTGCGGTATTGGAAAAGGTAGTGCTATCGTTTATGTATTTTTCTTTTTTTCATTTATTTCTATTGTTTAAGATTCGTTCACATTATGCCAGTATGCTATCGAGTGTGAATTGGAAGGACTCTGAATCAATGCAGTGCTGTTCAGAGCAGTGTTCTCTAATATTATCGTGTTGGGATAGTGTTCCGCGAAGTGTTCGACCTGTACTAATGAAGTCTCTCATAAATAGAAAGGACGTGAAAATATTGAGAAAGTTAGTTAAAACTAGAATTGGCTCAACGATGACAGTACAGAGATATGCGTTCTCAGGTTGACTACTCGCATAATTGAGGGCAAGGTCGAAGCAGGAAAAATCCTCATGAAAGAGGCATTCGACTTCCATCTCAAGTATATCCCGCTATTGTCTGAAGGGCAGCATTCCTTGGATGATGTGCTGGATTATAATTCGTTGGTGATAATGTTGCGGGCTGGGATTTCTGTCGATGTAGCCTTAACACAAATGTCAACTGAAAAGGTTAGTTCAGTCAAACTATACGCAATTATGTTTTACTGACCCCATCAAGGTGAAAGATATACTATCGTTGTGTTTATCCAATGAGAAGGTCGCTGATGAGATGTTGAACCTGGTTGAGCTGTTGATCTCCTCGAAATTGAAAGATGTCGAAGATGAACTATTAGGTATGTAGTTAACATGCAGATCTCTTGAAAGATGCAAGGAAATTATGCAGTGTCCCTCTCTGTCATATATGAGAAATGCGCCGGAGAATATCATGCAAAGCTGTTGTCAGCTGCTGCTCAGGCCTTGGAGGTTGGTCCAAATTCTAGGTTTTTAGGTCTTTAGTTTATACTTCTGTTTTAGATGTATGGACACACTGAAAAGGAAAGAGATGTCGTTAGTCTTTGCTTCAGCATGCTGTCTGTTTTGAAAATCATTGGTTCCAATTTTGATCGCATTCGAAGTGTTCAAAGAGTGTTGGACAGTGCAATGCGCTACGCCCATCCGTCAGTTAACAATGACCAGTGCAGCGTTTTTGCGTGAGACAAGATATATTTTTTTATTTTTCATAGAAATTTTCATTGTTTCTAGGCAACTGTTCATAAAAGTATTCAAAGCTGTGCAAGAATTCATCACTAGTGGTATTGGCAAAGCAGAAGAAGTAGACGAACTTGTTCATGGGCTCAATAGTATAGCCCATGCTCTTACTCTTCATAAGATATATTACACCAGGGTTTGTCCATTTTCTTCTTTTAGGCCCTGGCCATACTTCGAAAAGCGCCCAAAGGCGCTCAAATGCGCCCAAATTTCTCTAACCTCTCCTCACTCTCTCTCTCATCTCTCCTCATACGAGAAAGTGAAGAGACACTAGAGAAATTTGACGCCTTCGAGCGCTTTTGGGCGCTTTTGAGCGCTTTCGAGCGAAGTCTGGCCAGGGCCTTAGAACCGCAGACAAGTGTTGTATAGGGTTTCTTTTTCATCGTATCACTTCCAGATTGTTGGTACAATTATATCAGCCGTCATCTGTCAAGTGAATGAGTTGGAATTCGTTATGTACAAGTTACATTCTATTAGCGACAAACACAAGTAAGCCTCTTGCGTTCACGTAGTGTTAAATAGTTTAATGTTGATGTATAGAATACTTGAAAGACTTTTTTACATTGCATTTTCACATAAAATTTTTTTTCAGCGCATCAATGCTTGCTACTAATCTTCCTCCTTCTGAACGACTACAATACAAGAGACTATTCTCGACACTGAAAAGGTCGAAAAAGCTTGTAACGTAATTTGATCTCGAACTTCTCTAGTGATATGCTTCGTATAATTCAGATGAACTCATTAGTTGTTGGTTTTGTGAATCATATATTGTTTGCTGTTTACTTGTTCATTGTTATTGTTGTCATTTCTCAAAAATAAAATGAGAAGAAGCTCCCTCCATATTGTCAGCATGTCTAGCATAGTTGCAATCTCCCTGTCTTGTTCATCACTTCGCTGAGTTCTAAAGTTTTTGATTTCGGTTGGCAGGGTTTGATATTGGGTTACTGTACGATGGGATACGGTAGGCTAGCAATAAAAGAGTAAGCAGAGAAATCAATTCAGTTCCGTGGACGATACGATTTACACTCTGCGCACAGACTACAGTGGCCATAGAGGCGAACAGACCTAGGAGAATTTTGATCAGTTCAAACGTGTTGATTACTACTATGATAAGTTTAGGTATTACAAGTGTCCTTTCAGATCAGCTTTATTTTCCGAAAAATCGTTGTCTCGTTACCACAATCTCACTTTGAACTTTTACTGAAATTATAATGGTGTTAATGGTTCACCCGCACGCGCGTCACTTTATACACGAAAACTAGTGACTTACACCAGGGTTAAAGTTTCGGTATATCTGTGGATGCGCTGTCTCTAAAGAACAGTTGATCGACTTGACGAAGCAAAGAATTTAATTCAAATCTTCAAGTTGAGGCGGTCTGGTAGTCAGCTTTCGAGAAGCTTCCCAAATTAACTATAACCCGAATTGTGGGGTAAGCAAGCGGACAGCAAGCACGTTTCACAAACTTTTTTTTGCATAACTTGGGACTTCAATAAAACTGGAAAATTATTCTGGTTCACCATTAAAAAACAAGTCATTCACATATTTTTAAAAACATTTTAGCATCTATCTCTCTATCTTCGAGCCAGGTCCAAGGGACAACGCTTTCTTAGTGGTAGATTTGAATGAATATGCGCAAATTACTACTATCCCACGCAAAAATAAATTTGCGTATTATCTGATTAGCCTAACTTATTGCAACCAGTCAAGATGCTAGATTGATCTGAGCAATTCTTTGACGTCGTACAAACTGCAATCTTGGCAAAGGTAAAGAAAGCGTGTTCATCGAAGCAAAAATTTTGCGCACATTTATTGGAATTTGCCAAGTAGGTGCTACGCGGTATTTTCACATGACCAGTGACGGTCTGAGAAATATTTTAAGAAGGCACGAAAGAGTTTCTCTGCAAAGGGGCATAGCATAAACCATGCCTTAAGGAAATTTCTTTGGGATGATTTCAAATATTTCAACTGCCCCATAAAAATTACAAAAATAATTTCGGCTATGCACAAGCGAAAACAAGTGGTCTACTGCGCGGACAATGGTGTAGTCTAGTGAATCATAGCTTCCACTGAAAGCTATGATTCATCAGACTACACCATTCACTAGACTACACCATTGGGCAATCTTTTACCCTATTGCATTTTAATAGAATGGTGCAAAATTGGAGCGTGTTTCCTAGGCCTTTAATTCCGCTCAAATTTTCTTCTCCAAAAAGATCTTAGCATACCATTATAAACGAAGTTTTTTTTTACTTTCTAATCATAGCTCATAGTTAGTTTGCATTTTATATATAGCTACACAATGATCAGCGTGGAGCCTGATCCAGTTCTGAAATATGGAGTGGACACCTGCTTTTCAGTTTGTTTGCTTTTGGATTTGCCGCTGCACTATTTTCGAGCAGCAGCCTTATAACTTTAGATTTCAAAGCATGGTCTGTTATAGGGTACTTGGGAACTTCTATTGCAATTTCGTTTCTCTTGTATTATCACTTTCTAACTTCCACAGATTTGGAAGACTTCATCCTAGATTGTAACCGGGTCTTCCATAACATGCTTACTAGTGAAAATCAGTTCCATGAAATTCGCAAAAGTTTGAAATACCTCTATCTCAACCATGAATCATTGAAAAATATCGGCCAAGTGGAAAAATATAAACAATAATTTTCCTTTGCTAAATCGACAGTGTACACTGCTCCAAAATATCGGAGGTTTTTTTCTAACTAGAAGAAAGTTATGGTTCTGATCGTATAGTTACTTAAAAAAAGAAAAGCTGTGAAACGCATGACTTACTGCTGCCGACCTGTGCCTGAACGGAGAAAAAACTTCAATGTCTTTTTGAGTATTATATGCAATCTTTTACCTTATTGCATTAATAATAGAATGGTGCAAATTCAACGCGTGTTTTCTAGGCCTTTATTTCCGCGCAACTTTTTTTTTCAAAATCTCTTCTCCAAAAAAACTTAGCAAACTGTTTGAAGGTTTTTTACTTTCTGAATCGTGTTTTACCGTACTTCTAACCTCATAATGGTGATTCTGCAGAATTCCAGTTTAAGCTCAAAACTTGAATTTCACTGCATTGGCTTTCTACGCCAAATTCAGGCGCAAATGCATGCATTTTTTCAACATGGCTACTACATCTGATAGACTTTGTCTGCAAATAACACATTCAATGATTTTCAAGAAAGTTCGGACTGAGATATAGATACCACTGCCCATAGCGCGCTGTAGACATTCGTGTTGCCAAAAATTTCTTTTGAAAATACTATGGCTGTAGTAGGAAATCTCGTTTACACTTTCTACAGATATAGTTAACTGTCCAGCACGCAAATATGAAAATTTCATGATCTGACATTTTAACGCTTATCAAATCAGGCTCAAAGAAGCTAAACCTTTAGTTTTTTCTTTCTTCTTCTCGCGGATCTACCTCTGCAAAACGCCTTTCATTCACACTTGCACTACTTACGGCTTCAAGATTTGCTTACTAATGCACCGACATAACCTGAAGGTATTTATGATTTGCAAAGTTGAGGTTTTAGAGGAAAAAAGTTTTTAGTTTTCATTCCATGGCTTCCTTTCAATTGTAAGATCAATTCAGATGTGTGTGCGCTGAACTGTCGATGATTTAGTTTTGATAATTTTTGCAACACATGAGAACATGGAGTTTTAACATTATAGCTTGTCCCTAGCAACCTAATATAATACATAGCTGCTTGAGGTTTGGAATGCCGTACCTGGCAGAAAAATGAATCCCAGGATATAGGAAAGCACAGGAATGCGAGAAACGACTTATTATAACATAAAAATGCAAGGAAAACGTCCATTTTTACTTTCTTTTCCTTGTCTGCCATCAGTTCCATGTATATTCTATTTCTGTCTACTAGTGCAGCAAAGTCTTTATAAATACATTGGCACTGACAGGTATGTAGCATGTGGTTCGCCTCTGTCTCATTTCTACTTTGCCTAAGGAATGACCTTTTCTAACCGTTTTTTCAATTTTTGGTAAGTTATTTTCCTTATAAAAACCAGTACCCAACTGTCTGAGTACCCTGCTAGTTCTGCATAAGTCTGCTAGATTTTAAAAAGTAGGACTTACAGAGTGCGTCAAAATTATTTGCTTCAAAATATACAACTTAATGCCACAACAAAAACAGGGAAAAACTGCTGTTTCTGCATTCCACAGGAGTAAGCATACTCTATAGGAACACTATCAAGATCCTAAAACAGTGTTTATATAATGAGTAAGAAGTGCAAAAACCACTGCTCGTTACAGAAAAACGCCTGCAGGATTAAATAGTCAGAGATTTTGTTTTGTACTCTCCCAGAATTTCCAATACTCAGGGATCATAAAATAAAAGATCAGCTCTATTTTACTGCAAAATTCGTTACTTGAGAGAAACCTAATCAAAGCATACATGCTGGGCCAATTTGTGCGCCTTTATCCGCGTGAGACACGAGACAAAGAAATATTACAATTTTTACTGAAAAGAAAACAAGCAAGATGTCATCTTTTGAAAAGGTTGCACGGTGTATAACCAAGAAAACCAAATCAAGCTTGATTTCTCGCTCTATTTTCGTAGGCTTGGAAATATTAGGTTGTGTAATAAGTTCTGTCCCATTTTTTCTTTCGATTTTTTCCCAATATTTTGCGCGATGTTATAAAAATTGTCTATATGCATTTGAAAGCTCTAAGCCTTCTCTACAAATACTTTCATTTCGATTTACTACATCAGATGACTTGAAAAAGTTTTACAGCGTTAAATTTGGAAAATCAAACAGGGAAAAAGTCCATTTTCGACAACTGCGTTACGTCGCCTTCCTAATTAGTCAGAATGCCTGCGAATGAGCTCGAAGAATTAGCTACACGTAAGAAAAGAATGCTCTAGCTTTTATTGCGCTTCAGGAGTGTTGAAACTCTTTAAAAATCATTTCTGCAGCTTTAGAAAAGTCCTCTTTCTGATGCCTTTTCAACGTTGGTGTTGGGCATCATCTGAAGGCATCCTGAGGGAAGAGATCATCCAGAAGAGACAGAAGGGATGATTTGTGGATCCAAAATTATCGAATTCGTAGCTTAAATACTCAAAATTCAAATTTTGGGAACCATACAGCTTGGGTACGCGAGACGGCGAACATCGCCGTGACATAGTCTTGCCCTGCCGACTTTCAAAAAAATGTCATCAAATAGCCGGTGGAAGGAATGATGTGCGAACAGTGATAGAATAAGGGTAAAAGCCTAATAGATTGTTTTCGTTGTTGTCAAGCTTGTTTAATAAGTTTTATCAATAAAAATCGAGAAAAATTTGGAGGAAAAAATACGTCGAAAATTGATTTTTCGGCTCTTCGGATTTTTTGTTTCAATGATAAAAATCTTTTTCAGTTTCCTGCTATGTTGGGGAATGATGCATATGAGCCTGCAGAGCAGACCTAGAGCTTTCAAAAGCATATACACTTTGTCTCAAATATAGTCAATGTTATCAAGAAAAAATTAAAACAAAAAATGGGACAGAACTTATTACACGACGATGATGCGCAAATAATTGTGGCGCACCCTATACAGTAGACCATTTGGATGCTATCTCCCTTCAGACCCTGTACAAAAATAGAAAATTTTCGAGTCCAATGCTTTCAATTTGGAACTCCAAGGGGCCAAGTACTATGACTAGTCTCGGACAGTGTAGTAGACTCTCTCGACATGCATGTTTCTATACCGGTTTTGAAAATCTGGTTCTGGCCACACACATCGCTTGCACAACCCGCGCTCTTGATCGCA